TATTGTTAGTTGCATATCCATCATTTTATTATTAATAGAAAGTTAAATTAATTATGTAGTCTCAACGATTTTATTAAAGTTATTTAGTCGTGTATTGTGTTAAATTATGTTTTCTACTACCGTTCTTAAAGTACTATCATTTTGCACGCTACAGAGTTCGTAAAGCTTTACTTCACGCACTAATGCGTAAAGAGTTTTTATTTAAGCACTGAGTGCGTAAAGAAAATTGTCAAACTTGAGTGTATTGACCACAGAGCAACAAGTTTTAGTATTGACATTAATTTGGTGAAAATATGTATATTAAATTAGTTTAATTATATTTTATTATAAAGTGTTATAATTAGAACGAAAAATTAAACTTTCTTTACACACTAGTGCGTAAAGAAATATACTTTACGCACTAGTGCGTGAAGAAAATGTATATAAAACCTTAATTTTTTGATAAAACTTCCGGTAGTAGAAAAAATATTGTATGCAATTCACGTGTAAAGTCGCTTTTTTGACTCATGTGATTGTCACATTCGTCAAAAAAGGGTTATTTTACACACATGTTGCATAAATAACTATTTTGCTGATTTAGAATGGAAAATAAGGATTAAAACAATATTATTACTATAGATTGTAAGTTTAAGCAAATTCTATTTTTATAAGTCAACCTGCCCTTCTTTAATATAAACTCTTTGAATAATAATGTATATTATTGATTATAAAACCAAAATAAGGTTTATTTTTATTTGTTTTCTTTTCGCAATTAATGACATAATGAATTTTTCGTAACCACTTCCACTATGTTCAACATTATGCAATTTATTTATGAAACCAGTTACGAAATGCATTATTTTATGTAATGAGTGAATATTTGCGAGACGAGCAGAACGAGGTCCCGCAACATGAACGAGTTACATAAAACGGCATTTCTTATCGTGTTACATACAATATTCTTTCTAATTTTGACTAGGTTATTTATAAAATTGTGTTTTGGTAAGAAATTAATAACATCTAGGCAACCAATATATTACTACTATCTTGTATTGTTAGTTGCATATGCATCATGTTATTGACAGAACATAACATTAATTGAACAGGGGTTGAGTTCAAAAGTGGTCGATTTGGCGTGGAAATGTGGAACGCCCCATATATATCATTGACCCTGTCAATGCCTAATTATTGAAGATTTTTGAGATAGTAGGTAGATGATTTTTTGGCCCTATCATCCAAAAAAAGTGGTTCCAATCCTCTGTCAAATAGGGGTTCTACAGGGGTGCTTCTATCTCATATGGGTCACACATTGTACACATAAACGTATATCTACAGGATCTCATTAAGAATAGAACACAGAACAACTGAAGATTCTTTGATTAAAAATAAGACGATTAAACGAAGCATGCTTAGATAAAATATTACTGGTTTCCGAATATTAAAAAATACAGGTTGTTTTTTTATTTCTCAGTACAAATTTACTAAATTCGGTAGAAATTTTTGGTGTCATGAGATACACCCATCAGCAAAATAATCAGGTAAATAAACTGTGCTAGTGGCGTACGGCATGGATAAGTAACACCTTCATTCCCTTCAAATTTTACGCCGATGTCCAAAAACTTATTTAGACTATACTTTTAAATTTTTTGACATTTTATAAATAAATCATGTACTCTTGTTGGGAACTCAAAGTAATTGGTTTTTGAGATATTAATACTCAAAGGTGGATATTCTTCATTTTATTTAATTTTTAATTTTGTAATTTTGGATTTTTTTATAAATTCTTAACAAGAATACATTATTTATTTAAAAAAACATCAAAAAATTCAAAATTTTAGTCCAAATAAGTTTTTGGAGAGTGGCGTAAAATTTAGAAGGGATGAAGGTGTTATTTACCCATGCCGTATGCCACTGGAAAAGTTTATTTAAGTTATTTTTTTGCTGATATGTGTATATTATGACACCAAAAACGTTTGCTCAGTATAATTTTATTAATAAATCCAAAAATTAAAGTGAAGAATCTTCATCTTTGAGTGTGAATATCTCGAAAACCAATCACTTTATGAGTTCCCAATTTATTTAAAAACATCAAAAAATGTAAAAGTATACTCCAAATAAGTGTTTGGACAGTGGCGTAAAATTTAGAGGGGATGAAAGGTGTTACTGTTCCAAGCACGCTACTGGCAAAGTTTATTTAACTGATTATGGGGTCTATTCTGTAACAATTCCTTTATATTTAACGGCCTTTAAAAATATTTTCTTCTTTACTTCTGTCATTATTTAAACGGATCTTTAAAATACATTAGAGTACTATCTTAAAGAAATCTGTTTAAATAATGACAGAAGTAAATTAACGAATACGAAAATGTTTTTAGAGGCCGCCAATATTTTTAAAGGCCGTTAAATATAAAGGAATTGTTACAGAATAGACCCCTATAGCCATTAATATATTTTTTTAATTTTCAACTTTAACACCCTTTATTTCGGAAACCAGTAATTTTTTTTCTAAATATGTTTAATTTAATCATCTTATTTTTAAGCAGTAAATCGTCAATTGTTCTGTGTGTCCCTGTATTTTAAATCTAGTTTACGTATTGTTTTTGCCCTTTTTGGTGAGATTTAAATTACCAGAGATATACAGGAAGAAATTCCATGTACCTAGTTTAATGAATGCAGATGATGCTGTATTACTAGGCGGAAGACTTAAATAACAGGTTAGATCAGTGCCGAGAAATGTTGGAGACAAAAGTCTGAGATTTTATTAGTAATTAGCAATTAGCAGTGGGAAAACATAATACTGGGAATATAAATATTTAGTTTTGATAATCGAAGACAGGTTCCATGACGTCTCGGCGTCTTTTTGCGATGTTATATTATTATGTCGATCGGCTTTGCTCAATTTTCTCATACCTATACCTACAAATGTCTAATTAATGTTATACCTATTATTAAGAATCGAGTAAATATTTATTAGTACAAGAAAAACCGTCTTAATAAATCTTTGGCCCACAGCGAATAATTTGGTTGATTGTTCTTGGGAAGGCGAGACCGAGTAAGACGACTAGTGACAGGCAGCAACCCATACAGCACAAACACATTTCGGAAATATTTCAACAATGTTACATTGAAACATTTGCAATGTTGTATAAATATTACGAAACATCCCAGAAACATTTCTGAAATACACCTGAAAAGATAGGCTTGTTTCTAGCTGGTGGATGGACAGGTACATGATTAAATAAAAAATAAAATAACTACATATCCCATCTTCTTCTTACAAATCATAAATTCTTCATTAATTGTTGGCCTTTTACAACATAACCCGTTTAGTAACCGTTTGTGTAACATATATACCATGTTTCAGAAACATTTACAGTGAAATATTTAACTAAAATATTTCAGAAATATTTCAAAAACGTGTGCTCGAAATGTTATGTTTGAAACGTTTGAAATATATCTGAAACATTTCTGAAATATTGTGTGCTGTATGGGAAGCAGCAAATACTGCCGTGTTAAAAGTGCTGTCGTCGCTCGCACTGTCCCAAATGTTTTTCATATAATTACATATGTTCATCAGACGTGAAGAAACCGTTTTTGGTTGCCTTCGCTGTCGCTTTTACGCCTGTCGCTTTACTCGGTCTCGCGTTCCCAAATGGCACCTTTAGATTCCTACCTTTTTTCTAGTACGTATATATTTTATTCATGATTACTTTCTAACCTTCCAAATATTACTCGATGCATTTACATTGACCCTATTGACAGGCTTATGGCAAAAAAATGATGTTTGTATTATGAAAAGATTACGAAAGAATAAGGACAGGGTGAGTATCTAAAGTAGTGAGAAGCCAGTGAACTGCTTGGTCGCTTGGCACTAAATGTAATACTGCGACTTTTTTTTAGATAAAGCGGATTCTACCGGAGGAACGCTTATTAATGTTTGGTGAATCATTCTGCTAGGAGTCTATATGTATAACGATATCCCATTTTCCTCAGTACATCATTGGAAAACCTATGTATCAGAAATGTGGCTTAGCTGTTTTTCTACGAACTCTCTGTCCTATTTGCTTTGCTCAAAAAAAAACATAGTAATGAAAAATAAGAATTCGTACATATTATTGTTTTCTTGTGATTAAGTCTACATCTCTATTATGTACCTATGTTTTTACTTTCCTGTATTTAGTAAGGAGGGTATTTTATGGGGGGGGGGGGTATTTTCTGGATGGGTGGTTTTTCTATTTTAATGTATATTTCTGTTATTTATTTAATTATTAAAATTTGAATTTTTTAAGTATTTTCGTTGCAAATGAAGATATTAAAAGATGTAAATACTTTTTATCTTAAATTCATTATAAAGATTTTTTTTGATTAGATGGGTCTTATTCAATATAATTGATAACTATACAGGAAAGTCATGTGAATTTTTCTATGTGTTAGACAAAATATATTTTTTAAATAACGCAACTTTAAAAAAATTAATTTTATTGACTAGACTATTATAAATCACACAATCTTTTGTTGCAGAAAAATGACAGGAAATTGACCGCTCCCAATACGTAACTTTTTCTTGCAATAACGATGCATGCTGATATATACAATTTTGCATCACCCTACATATTATTTTTAAGATATGTTCTTTTTTATTATATTTTAATATAGGTACCTACAATGAAAATATAAAAGCAAGTGGACAAAATGTTTAATGTTCAATGTCAATAATCGTTCTCGATTCTCGATAAAAATAATTACGGAAATCGAATAAAAAATTACGAGCACCAAAAAAATCGATTTTATTTATTAGTTCAAATCGAATACCATTTTTTTTAATACGCTCTTCATTTTTCTTTTTTTATCCACATATATCTGAAGGTAAAGTGATATTTAAACAGAAACACAGACTATAATTATTATGTGATAAAAAAAAAGAGTTTCTACTAGTTTACTCAATTGGATTTTCGATTAATTAAATCGATAATGTGAGTATATAACATCGAATATTCTTAGTTCTCCTGTTCGCCATCACTGTTGTGGTCGTAGCTTGATGTCTATCGGTCGGTGCGCCTTGGAATAAGTTTGATATTGCTATAAAAATAATAAAACACAAATGTTGAAAACAATCTACTGATAATTAATACAATTGAGGCACTTAGAAATTATTGATGACTGTCATACATCGGAACAAATTATGATGGATAAAGTTGTGTTTACTTCAAAATGGTGGGTGTTTGTTTTTGGGTTAACATAATACTCTTAATAAATATATGCCTGGCCAAACCGAAAGACTGTCTCATTGAATGTTCATGTTTGGGAACTTATGTCGATTGTGGTTCAAAGAAGTTTGAGACAATTCCACCTAACATTCCAAAGTGGGCAACATACTTGTAAGTTATATCTTTTTTAGTAACAAAGCCTTATTTATAATAATGTATGATTTCAGGGATTTGCAAAACAACAATATAAAGAATTTTTCTGACGTCAACTGGAAACACCTATCTAGTTTAAAAGGTCTCATTTTAAATAAAAATAATATTGCTTATATTCCAAAAGATGTGCTCCATAATCAGTCCCAGCTGAGAATATTGTAAGTCATATTTTTGTTTTTAAGTGACTAGCTAAAGGTGTGTCAGTGATTTTATAAACTGTTGATTGATAAAAAATCTGTTTGTGCCATAAAGAATGTGTGTAGATTATCATCAAAGTAGTGTTAATAAATAATAATATATCTATCCTTTCAGGGAGTTAAATCGTAACAAAATTAAAGTAATAGAAGCTCTCAATTTTAAATCATTGGAAAATTTAAGTACCTTAAAACTTAAAAGAAACCACATAACAGAGTTAAAGGATGGAGCATTTTATGGACTCAAGAAAATTGATAAACTGTGAGTATTTTTATATGTTATAATAAACCAGGTACTTTAGATAAGATATTCTTGTGAATTCTATGTTTATTTTGATTGTTTTCTTTCAGATTATTGGATTACAATTTTTTGAAGGTTGTTTCTAAAAGTTGGCAGTATGGCTTAGAAACTCTAAAAGAACTTTCAATCAGTCACAATTACATTGAAAAAATTGATGAAGATTCATGGGAATTCTGTAGGACACTATTTTTGCTGTGAGTAAAATATTTCAAATTTTTTACACTTTTTATTATATTATATTTTTTTAGTGATCTTTCGTTCAATGCCTTACAATCTATAGAATCAGATACATTTAAAAATCTTGAACATCTACAAAAGCTTTCTCTTAATAATAATAACATATCCTTTATCAAGGAAAATGCATTTGTTCATTTACCCAAGCTAAGATTTCTGTAAGTATCTTTTTTATATTAAACATGTTTAACAAACTTAATTTTATGATATTGAAATAATTATTTTGTATATGTATCATATCATCGCTGTCACAAATTGAGATATTACTGTATATGGCATATATTGACTCTGTTAAACCTTCCTATAATATAATTATGCATTACATAGTATTTTAGATTATAAAATCAGTTATGTGAGGAGATATTGGTCCCATTGTTAAGTTTTTTCAGCCTCCTGTAATTTAATTACATAAATTAAGGTAGATTAAGTCAAAAATACAAGGGGGATTTGGGGGGAATGGAGTCATGAAATTTTGTAATTCATGAAAAATAGTAATGCAATGAAGATTACTAAAAATGTAATTTTGAAGCCTGTAATGTACAAAAAATTACTTTCTCCCTAAATAAGTCAAATCCACCAGTACAAAAGTATATTTTTCCATTAAAGCTGCTTGATCTTATTAGGCTTTCCAATGACCTGTCAAACAACAGCTGACGGTGGGAAGGGCTTGTATATCTAAGGGGCTGACATATCCTTCCATGTTGAACGCTATTTTTATTTGAAATAGTAGTCGCCAATCCTACCAATTTATGAAAAATGTATAACGATTTTTTTAAATAAAATTTTCAGTTTGCTCGACATAAACTATTTAAATTTAATCCATTATTCATGATTTCAAGTATTGTAGATACAATACATCATATATCACATCCCTTAGATGTACCAACCCTTCCCACTGACAATTGTTTTGTTTAGAATACCTAATTGGAAAGATGACATAGATGTACCTAGGGATCAATCTTTATACAGTGGGTCTACTTAAGTTGGTGTCATTTGGAAAATTTTGTTATTAGTTTTATGAAAAAAAAGTTACTCTTTATAAAAAGTTCTGAGTAATTTAAAGCCCTCAATAAAATCATGAGATATCAACATTTAACAGTTATGTACGGGGTATGTCTCAAAATATAAATTTAGTACAAAAACAAACTAGGTACCTTTATTTTTAACAAAATCGAAAAATGTTATGTTGTAAATATGCTGCCATCTATCTTAAAAAAGGTATATTTTGTGTCGTTTCCAAGAAAGTTCAGTAAGCTGTTGAATATTTGTTGAACAGAAAATTTATGTCTGCACATTGATACTAGAACACTATCTCATGTAGGTAATGTAAATTTGGCACATTATTTTATTTTAGTTATGTCTTTAGATAGTTTCATGAAGTTATACTTGGAAAATCACAAAATATTTAAATATTTTATTTCCATACAGCTTTTCTTATTAAATTATTAAATATTGTCAAAAATAAAGGTTCTTGCATCAAATTATATTTTGGGCCAGAGTAACTTTTTTTCATAAAACAGTAATAAAAATGTTTTGCATATGGTGCCAACTTAAAATAGACACAGTTTGTGTAGTAAAGTTAAGAGATCTAAAAATCATATTTTGTTTTCAAGAAATTTAAGTAACAACAAGATTTGGTGGACAATAGAAGATGCTAGTGGCATATTTCATGGTCTTAATTCTTTAATGAAATTTCATTTGGCTGGTAACCGTATCAAATCAATTAATGAGGGTGCCTTTCTGGGTTTACATAATGTTACTTATCTCAACTTAAGTAATAATAATATTACTTCAATCCAAAACAATGCATTTGAGGAAATGCCAGTATTAAAGGTAATAACATTAGAAAAAATTAATAAGTAATAAAAACCATGAGTATTTTTTAATTGTAGGATTTAGTGATAAATACAACAAGTTTATTATGTTACTGCAACTTAAAATGGTTTCTGGATTGGCTTAATTTAAAAAAAATTAAAGTCCAAGCCATCGTTTGCTTTCATCCTGAATGGTTACGGGGCCAGTCACTACTTGAAGTATCAAGCAATTTAACATGTGGTGAGTTACAATTTTTAAAAGTTTTTAGTTTTACAGGCAAATAATTTAGAAATTTTATCACAAAACATTACTTTGCAGATGAATTACCCAAGCCTCGTTTGATTGAAGAACCAGATGAAGCAATAATGGCTTTAAAAGGCGAAAATATTACTTTAAATTGTAAAGCAATGTCAAGTGATGATCCAAGTACAGTGACCTTTATATGGCGAAAAGACAATGCTGAACTTTCTAGTCCCAATATAGAAGTTAAATTTAGATTATTTGGAGATGGAAAGTCTACAGAGATAATTTCACTACTTCATTTAACTGATATAGAAAATAAACATGCAGGAAAATATCAGTGTGTTGTGTCAAATAGTTATGGTACTACTTACTCACAGAAAACTACAATATCAGTCCTTGTTTACCCCACTTTTACCAAAGTACCTAAGAATGTAACAGTAAGGGCTGGAGAAACTGTAAAATGGGAATGTGCAGCAAATGGAGAACCCCCACCTGAAATAGCTTGGCATAAAGATGGTGGAAATGATTTTCCAGCTGCTCGAGAAAGAAGGTATATAACAAATTTTATATTTTCTGAATTCAACTGTAAATTAAATATTACTGGTTATTTTTCTTTGATTTGTCTTTTTATTCCAATCTTAAATGATCATTCTTTATGTTAAGATGATCAATTTTTATTTATTTTTATATAGGATGCAAGTAATGCCATTGGATGATGTATTTTTCATAATAAATGCCAAACCAATAGACATGGGCATGTACAGTTGTACTGCTCATAATCAAGCTGGTTTAATATTTGCCAATGCTTCATTAATAGTTGAAGAAAGACCATCTTTAGAAAAGAGAATGGTGGACAAAGAAGTATCAGCCGGGGAGCATATTGTATTGCAATGTAAAGCCAAAGGTATACCAAAACCAACTATCACTTGGTTAAAAGATGGAGAACTTATTATTCCAACAGAGAGACATTTTTTTATACATGAAAATCAGATGGTTATTATTGTTGACTCAGTTCAATCTGATTCAGGAAACTATGAATGCTACTTAAATAATTCAATTGGGGATGAAATCGGAAGGAGCAGAATTGTTGTTAAACCACGTATGTATTTTTATTTTTACTATTAATGTAATATTTACCTAATCAATCCAAAAATAAGTAATTATGAGGGAAATTAATTTTTTCAGATACTTATGATACCAGTAACATGATGGGAATCATCATAATTTCTGTAGTGTGTTGTGCTGTATTAACATCGATTATATGGGTGGTAATTATTTACCAAACTCGTCGTAAAATAGCAACTCAAGTAATCCAAACAGAAATGCAAGAGATTCCTGATTCTGGTGACAGATCTCGTACGCTTCAACTCCAACACCATCTCTATCCAGATAACGTTTCTGATCAGTCTTCCTGCAAAGACAGTGGTACAGGGGATTCTGCAAAACGTAGCAGTGATAATTTGGCTCCTGAAGAATTCACTATGGTAGTTAGTGATTCTGATACAGAACCTAATAATTCACAAATTCCCTTGTTGCCCTATCCAACAAATCATGATAGGATTGTTCCTACCACTTCCACTGCTTCGGTTGTGTCTGTGAGAATTGAAAGTGTAAATGATAAATTGAAGTAGCAGGAATAAATTGAACATTTTTTTGGTTTGTGAGCTACCTCTGTTCAAGAAGTTCGGAAAACCTTGCCTTTTAAGTACTGAAGTGTTTGATGAACAATAATAGAAAACAAATGTTTTATTGTATTAATAATTGACGGCAAATTTATATTTATATAGATCATCGAATACTGTTTACATTTTAAAATAACCTATTTAACAGTATTTTTGACAAACTGAAACCTTGGAACAACAAAAAAATTCCTCCAACATGTCTTCCAAAATAGAAGTAGATATGTCTAGTAACATACTAAAAAGGCAAGGTTTTGTCACTTATTAAAAAAAAATTCTAGGGCAATTGTTTATACTGTTTTATAACAGGATTTACACTTTCTGAGATATATTTCTGATATTTGATTGATTTTAAACAATGTTGTTTATTTATTGTTTAAGTCGGCATCACATTTTATTCTTTATGACTGTATTATATTTTATATCAGCTTTAATTATCGTATTTTGTTATTGTACATTTCGTATTTATTTAATATTTAGATTGTCGTACAAAAAAAGGTATTACAAGCCCACGGTCAACAAGAAAGGTATTGCTAAAGTATGTCAATAAAAAGGGAGACAAACAACTAAGAAATAGTTACAGAAATCTTTTTTAAACTCGTTAATCTTGTACAGAGAAAAATAGTAAAGACAGGCTATTATGTAATCATGATAATGTCATAAGTTTGAAAGTATTTATTGTTAAAATAAACCAAGAAAATTATAGCTAATTAATTCTCAAATTTTGAAAAAAATTACTGCATAATCAGTATTCTAAACTTGTCACTTAAAACATTTAAATTATTAAAATGTGCCTTAAAAATGTCTTTGTATTTCTACAAAATTAAATTAATATATGATAATATGCAAAAGTTAAATTTATATAAAAATATTTTGATATTAACAGTGTAATTTAAGTTCCCTACAAGTTTTATTGTTTATAGGTGGTCCAATTCCACATCTAGTTGTTATGAAAAAAAAAAGCGAAGCTTAAATAATATTTTTCCTAATAAAAATGTAATTTTAAACTTGGCTTATTTCTTAACAGCTAGTGGTGCAAATAGTGAATAATATTACAATTAACAGATTGGCTGTGAAAACCGTGTTCAGAAAGACAAATCGTCACTATAATGTAAAATAACTTGCAATCCCAATTATGTATTTAAGAAAAATTTTGTTCTATCCCTGATATTCCCAGATTTTATGTGACTACTAAGCTGTTGAAATAAAAAACAAATAGGCAATTTAAAATGGTTGCCAATGAGCACGTAAAATCTGGGATTAATACTTAAGCAATACTTTTCTTCAACCTAGTAAGCTTTCGTGGTCATTGATCATAACACAATTGCCTACTTGCTTGTTACATAGTCTGATTTTTAATATGTTATACTTTATTTCCTAAGGTGAAGTACTTAGTACATCAAGAAGTACACGTGGATGTTAACTCAGAATGTTTCATTTCAGAAACAATATTTATACAAATATAATCGTTTCCTAAAATAGTTTTGATAGTACAAAGGGCTTAACTTTATTTTAAATGTAAATGTTTTTTATTTTAGACAATTAAGACAATCTTAGATACTCTGTGTTTGAAACATTCTGCGACATCCTGTGTATTTCTGCCTATTTACTATATATAAAAGACTAAAGTAGAATATCTACAAGCACATACATAGTTGAGTAAAATACGCTCTAGTTTGTAAACAAATTTTTGTTCAAAATATTTCATAATTTATAAGACGATTGAACTTATTTTATTGAGAAAATAGTATTTGAAATAAGTGCGCACAATTATGAGAATTGTAAATAAACATCAAAAAAGGTATTTATGTTTTTACTGGTAAAAGCATCAATACAGGTAAATTGAGCTCGCAATAACAATAATTTCTTACATAATTGACTTAAGGTGTTAATTATTTGCATTTCAAATTATATTTTTTATGTTAACTTTTATAGACAAAATTTTGCTTTCTACCCTCACATTTGTTCATAAATGAATGTGCCATTTTAAGACAATAAATGTATCTTTATAAAATAAATCGTTCAGTTGTTAAGTGACAAATTAATTGCATCTAAATGGAAATTAATTAATAAGGGAAATAATTTTATTTGATATTTAATTTGATATTATTCTCTCATAACAAATATATACTCGATTAAAAAAAAAAAACTTAAAAAGGCAGCTGTTAGTCTTCCGTCCAAATTAGAGCCTTGCTTGTTTGTATGTGTCAAATAAAATTTTAAAATGTATTTTGATAATATTTAATAACTATTTCATAATATTAACAAAACAAATACCAGTGAACTTCATCTCGTACAGCCTGTTAATCAATGGGCTACTGTGAGACAATAAATAAGCCTTTTACAAAAAAAAACAATATAAAATGGGACCACAGAATTGTACTAAAAAAAATGAAATTCGACTATTGGTTTAGTCGAAGTTTAGGTCAAATTATATTTCACATTTTTATTAGATAAAATAAATTAGTCAAAATTATGACGGGACTGAAATGGGCGTTTGAAGTACCCAAACTGAAAACCAATAAAGTTGATTAACTGGCTTCACGAAATAATTTGTGTTGAAACAAATTTGAATGTACATTTGGAATAAATAGAAATATTTGGATCAAAGATTCTTGTTAATTTCGTATCAAGTATATTTTATTTCTAATTATTCCAAATATATCTACAGGTAACCTCTGAATACCCAGTAGTAACGTTCATATAAAATGCCTTATTATACTTATATATTAATATAGATTATTATGATTACTATTTTGTAACTGCAGTTGTTATCTGGTAACTTTTTAACAACTTTGACAACAGTGGCTATTCTGGTATTCACGGTTGTTTTAAAAATAATACAATTGCTGTAAATTAAGCTTTTAACAACTTAAGATTCGGCTCGGGAGGATTGGGACGTGAAGTGAACTGTCATTTATTATTTTGGAATTTTAACAGTTTGATGGTGGATTGGTTTCAAATTTAAAAAAAATTAGCTCTAAAGTTTTAACGATCTAATACACTTGTCGGCGATTTTGTGAACCAGCAGGCTTTTTTTATGAGACGAGCTAAGAGGCATCTCCTATAAGCCTCCATATTGAGATCTAAACGATGTGTGGCAACCCACCCTCCTCACGTAACAGATACAGGTCGCAAAAAAAACAGTCTTGAAGTTTTACTTCGTTCCTAAAACAAACCATTAGAAAAAATAATTTACTTCTAATAAGTTCCTATTGTCAATACACATACTATGGTGTCCATAGTAGTCTCGGTAACCACCATAAACCATGTTTGGTTGCTTCCAAATCACTGCGAATCCATTTTAACTACTAGTTGTTACATATTTTACTTAGACAAGTTTGATTGTCTCAAAGTGGAAATATAACAACTGACCATGGTCTAATTGTTGGATAGCAACTGTAGGATACAACATATATCTAATGTTTACATCTATTACAAGAGAGTTTCATCTTTACCACATTTAATGAGGCTTTTTTTTGGCTAAAAATATATTCTACAGCATTTGATTGTTCTAATTTTTATGACACTTATATTCGTCCCTGAGAGATGTACATTTCTTTGGGAAAATAGTATAGTACCTACTTTTGTTTCTCTAATAATTATTGTCCAAATTATTTATACAAGTGTTATCTGTTTTTACCAAATAAGGTCACTCATTTGCTCAGTATATCAACATCATTTGCTTATGCATGATGGGCTTTTCCAGTAAAGCATTTTTGTTGGACATGATTGACGAATGAGTGATAACTTATTATTAGGGCCGTTTTGTAAAGGTACACTTGTTTTAGTTCCTATTTCACATGATCGTTTTCTGAAATTATTTTTTTAAATGTATTTTCGCCCTTTTGTGATATATTTTAGCATGTAGATGTATCAAGCCTTAAAATGTATTTTCAGAATTCATATGTTTTTAATATTTCTATACTTATAGGGAAAAACGTTATACAATTCTGATGGATACATTGAAAAATTCGTAAGTAAACTGTATATGCAGGGTAAAAAGTCTCGCAATAAGGTACTTTTTTTAAAATTTATTTCAGAAACAACCTAAGTCACATTTTGTCCATATTGGGTTTATCACATTAAAATTGCAGTTTCAGAGTAACACACATTTAATGCAGAAAAAACATATCTTCTGTTTACATCAATAATAAAGTTTTCGTTTATTTATGAAACAACTTTAGTCCGGGTCCTAGTTCAAAACGTTTTTTTCATACCGCCGCAATCTTTAATTTTTTTAAATAGGTCGAGTGATATCTCAAAGAGAAAGTTACTTCCTCTTAATTTTGAAAAGACCAAAATTTGATGTATCCTCTTAAAAAATTCAGATCTCATTTACAATTACACGATTCATTTGTTTAAAAAAAACCTTGTTACTAGTTTTTAATTACCCTGTATACATTTAAATAACTATAATTACTTTAATCGTACTATTGCCACTTCTTATAACCTAAATTATTTTAGTATCTTTCAGTTGCCTTACAAAAACGTAGAAAAGTGCCTTTAATTATCCATAATATAAATCGAATATTCTAAATAAGTCTCACAATTATTTTCTAGGATTTTTAAACACTCAGGAAATTCAGTAATAAAAAAATTCGCTTATTTCTTAAAAGTATTATAAATATTTTTTAATTGTTTTATTTTTAACGTTTTGTAATGGTGCATCGGATATTATTGAGAATGCCAGTTATTTTTTTTTATCGAACTTAAATATATATTTACTAAATTTTGTTAATCGTTGTATGTTGATACAGTATTGCCATAACTTTTATCTCGTAAGTATTTTTTACATGTTTTTGTGATACAATATAGTATAGTATACATAATTTTTTTACAGCATATTATAATTGTTTTTAGTTAGAGTACGTATATGCGGTGATTACTGCTTTGCTTTTATGCCCAGAAATATCTATTAGTTTAATGCATAGGTATAGTGGTTAATAGTGCCTTCACAGATAATGCCATATTTTTAAACCACTTAGAAGAGGAAAGCAGTAATATATTTTTTAGTTTTTTTTATTGAACCACTGTTTTATATTAACAGACTCTTTTTAGGCATCTTTAAATGTTTCCCATTTACTTTGGAATATTTTCATAAATTTATAGTGCGAATTTTAACTTGGATTGTTTTTAGAAAAAAAAAATGTATTTTCTATCAATAATATTGTGGATAACACAGCACTAATATTGAAATTCTTCTAAAAATGTTACATATAGTGGTTTAAACAAAAAATATTAAGTTGTAAATATATTTTTAACATTTTAGGCCCACATGATATTAAGCCAAAGTGATTGTACAGCCAGTGACTTTTATTAAAACTTTTCCAGATTCTACACTAAAATTCCAGTTCAACCATTTTAAGCTCAAATTTGAAATATGTCATTTTGTATATTTTTCGAAAATAAATACGTTAAAGCTGTTACTATGCAAGTTGTGTCAAATAAAAACAAAATTTTGTATATTTTAAAAATAACTTTACTGCAAGTACAGACAATTTCATATATATTGTGAATAATTGCCACAATTTGCATGATACATGACGGTTTTGACCAAGTATAGAATCTAAGAATACCTTTTCCTAAATGAAAAAAAGCCAATTTTTCCTCTAGATAGGTGATTTGGTGACTCTAGTGTATATACGTTTAGCACACTAATAATTTAGATTTCAATGTAATCATAAATATATGCTTGAGCTATACACTAAGTTATATGTACCTGTGTATTTGTAATTTATTAATTACATAATTTCGTAATATGTAAATGTAGTTATTTATTTAGCAAATAGGATAAAAGTACTAAGTTTAAATTATATTTTCATTATAGTATTACTAAGTATACCTCAATACTAAATTTTTCTTGTTCAAAATACAATTTTTATAATTAAGGGTTATTTATTTTTAGCTTTGTTGTCCTATTTCTGTTTTTCCATCTATAATCTATCCTCTCTAAGGTTTGTCGGAAGTAATTGACTTTCCATCCACGATAATCCTATTTTTACCTTCCTTACAAGTGTATTGTATAATTTTACGACGCAGAAGATCCTCTGGACGTACCCCTACCAATTTAAATATTTTTGTTCTATATAACCTATTTACCACTATTAAAATTCCAATTTTATAGATTTACTAATACGTCTATTATTGAAATTGGGGGAGAAATATTGAGAGAAAATTTTCTCTTTCTAACTTCTTATGGTTGTATTTTTGAAATCAAATTCGCCAAAATTGATTGAGAATTTTCTCACAAAACTTTCTCCTACTTTTAGGTAGGGAAAATGGAAATGACAAGATAATTCAATTCATAAGCATGCGCAGTGCGTGTCAGAATTTTAATAAAATCAAAATATAACCACAGACTCGTTTGTGTTAGTGGTTTTCTCGCGGTATCTTTAGCTCCCTGGCAACTCTGCAGTTTCTTGTTTCATCCCATCTTTCCTTGAATTTCACAAGGGAATGTTCTTTGATTAGGTCTGTCACTACCGATTTTGTCAAGCCAATAGAAGGGCCAGGTCCAAAATGTATTTGGTTGGCTAGTGAATCAGCAAGACAATTACCTTTCGATGTGGCGTGACCTTTGATCCATCTTAAAGTGACCACATTGTTGATGGATACTTCGGCCAAAGCTTCGTGACATTCTAGTACTAACCCTGAATAAATTCGTGGCCTGTTCAGGGTGAGTAGTGCTTGTCTGCTATCTGTATAAATGAGCATGTTCCTTCCAGTGATATTGTTTCTGGTTATTTCTTTTGCTGCTGAGAATCCCTGTTAGCTCTGTTTGAACTATGCTGGTACTATTGCTCGCAGCCCATTTTATGTTTAGGTTTAAGAATCTGGAGTATATTCCACATCCTGAGCCTTATTTTGTTTTAGAACCGTCGGTGTAGATATGAATCGTACCTGCCACTTCCGGCTCTTCTATTTGTTCTATTATAACTTTATATGGCTTATGAAAAATATATTTCGGTGAGATGGAGTCCATGTTCGCTTGAAGCAGAGGGAGCGCCTCCTGCCAAAAGTGACGTCTCGCTTCACCAGATCCTACATCAGGTTCTATTCCGACCGTGCGGAGGCGTGTCATTGTCGTCAGAACAACATCCTTGATGTAAATATCAAGAGGAGTGAGACTAAAAATGACTTCCATGGCTCTGGTCGGTGTTGTTTTCATGGCTCCTGTTATGTTGAGACATGCTGTTCTTTGAATTTGTTCTAGTTTACGGATAGCTGTTAATTTTTGGGTTTTCGGTACCCAGACAACTGCACCGTATGTTAGCATAGTTCTTATGATAGCCGTGTAAGTCCATGCGACGACTCTGGGGGAGAAACCCCAGGTGCGCCCCACTGTTCGGCGGCTTTGTTTATAAGCAATGTATGCTCTTTTAACTCTAGTTTTCTAAATGCGAGTTCCATGTTAACTTGCTGTCAAAGGTGAGACCTAGGTTTTGTTTTGTGTTTAGGAGTTCTGGAGGTTTTAATTCCATTTTCAACCTTTTCCTTGTGAAAAAGACCATTTCTGTCTTCTTAGGATTGATAGACAGTAAATGGTCCTTGCACCACTGTTCTATAATTTTTAGAGCTACTTGCATTCTTTCGCAAAGTATGTTCTCAAAATTCCCTGTTTGCAGAATGACCAGGTCATCTGCATATGCTATTGTGTAGTGACTGTCATTATTGAGGCGGCTGATGAGGGTGTCGAGGACCATATTCCACAGTAGAGGTGATAGCACCCCTCCCTGTGGATATCCCCTCGCCTCAGAGCCTCTTATATTCACATCTTCTACACTTATGTTTACTGCTCGCTTTGAGAGCATGTTATGTATCCACCCACTTACCATTTGTGGAACATTCCTGTTGGTTGGTGAGTGTATTACCTTTGGGAAGGTGGTTTTATCAAAACATTCAAAACGGACTCCTTATTGTCCAGAGATCTTTCTATCCGGCCAGCAACTAGATGAAGGGCTGAATCAGAGTAGATCTGCCTGGGGTATATGTATCTTGGTTTTGGTGTAGTGGTGTTGTAATCACCGCATCCCTTATGTACCTTTCGTATTGCCTTTCCAATGTCTTCATGGAAAACGATGTCAGACTAATTGGTCGGTATGTTTTTGGGACAGTGTAATCCATCCTTCCAGGTTTGGGTATGAATACCACTTTTACCTCTCCATTTTTGGAGGATATACCTCAGAGCCAACGAGGATCTGAATATACCCACCAGGTGCGGTGTGAATTCCTCCAGACCCCACTGAAGTAGGGCTGGATAGATACCGTCAGGTCCTGGCGATTTAAATGGAGAGAAGCTGGATATTGTCCATCTAATTTTTTCATCGTCTACAATGTGTTTGGCAGTTTACCAATCATAGACAGATGGATTTTGTATTCTTCCTTCCAGTCCGCCACGTCTGTGATGACCGAGTCACGGAAGTGTGTTAACAGCAGAAGTTTGATGCTATCTTCGAAGTTGGCAGTTTTTGTACCATCCTCTTTGATTAGCGCACCAATGCTTGGGTGTGGATCTTTTGAGAGAGCTTTTTGAAGCCTCTCTGCCTGCGGGAAATCTTCGATTTCTTCGCAGTAGGATCTCCATGCATCTCTCTGTTTTTGTCTGACGATTTTTTTGTATTCTCTCAGGTGAGATTTGTAAGTATCCCAGTCCTCTTTGAGTTTTGTGGTTCTTGCCGTATTAAAAGATTTCCTAGCCATCTTCCTGAGGTGATCCAACTCGTGACACCACCATGCGGTAGTCGTCTGATCGTGTTGGACCAGCCTCAGAGGACAGGATTTCTTATAGGCATTGTTTATTGTGCTTTGGATAGTGTTCGTGTACTTTTCCAAAGCAGTATTATTATTTGGTGTTTCGGTCTCCATCCACCTTGTTTGGACTCATGTTTTTAAAATGATTAATTCGGAAGGTGAGTAGAGTTTTAAGCCCTTTTAGAAGCGTTTTCAAACTTGAATTGCTAAGAATTTTTAGTTTGATAATTATTATAAAAAAATACAAAATTTAAATCAAGTGAATATATTCCCCGTGAGTTTCAGTTCTCTCATTTTCAAGCATACGCACTTTGATGTATATTTCTTGTCCTTTATTTGCTGAACATTTTAAAAAAATTCTTATTTGGGCTCACTGCGGTTCTGTCTGAAAATATTCAGAATGTCAACTGTCGATGTAAGACGCTGTGCGACCTCTATTAGAGAATAGCAAAACTAATTCAGTCTAGCCAATTTTAAAATGGCCTATCCTGGTGACATGATTAATTGTGATGAACATTCTAATGGTGCCCTACATCTGTGGTCATGACGTTTGGGTGATCAAATTCCAAAAGACCAATAATTGAAATAATGAACTCTGAACTGATAGTTCGGAGCAGTATTTATCACAGAACGTATTTATTTTTTGTGCGGTTGTTTGTCAACATTATTATTTGTCCACTTATTTTTTTAGTAGTTAATTCCGTTTAGAATTTCGTTTAAAAATGATACGTACAGTTAACAGCTGTTTAAAAAAATCAAATACTGTACAGGCGATATTTTTCACACGGTAATAATGAAGAAAATATTATGGTTTGGTATTTAGGTTATATTTGTCTATTTCTAGATGTGTGGCTACCTCAAGTGTAAATCATAAGACTGTTCAAAATGCGGAAAAAAACGTTTCAGGAAGTCCTGAAAATTTTTCGTTTGTTATGAATATATTTAGAGGGCAAGTGGAGCCTCGTCAAATATTTCCATACCCTAATGTTTTAAATGATGAACAAAAAGAACTTCTGCAAATGTTAATTGATCCCACAACTAAATTTTTTGAGGTATGTATACTTTAGGTTACTTTATTACAATTTTTTGACCAATTCAATTTCAAGTAATTTAATTGGTTTAATTAATTGCTTATGTTAGCTATGATAATAGCCCATCGAGAATTTTCAAGGGGTCATTTGACCTATCATGAATTACAATTACATACCATAAGATTCGGATCCTTACATAGTTAACTTTTTTAGCAACACCTTACGTATTTGCTGATACAGGGGTTAGAAATGCAGGGCGCAACTCTCTATTTTAGCCCCCACTGTATCAAGTCATTGACAAATAACGGCATCAATTCCACCCGATTATTTAAGTTTAAAAATAATTTTTATCAACTATGACATCTGATAACTATGGTTAGTGCAAAAGTTTATAAACAATTACCTGTATTTTGAAATTTAATTGAATTTTTTTTAATAAGATCATTAATTTCTCTACTACAACCACTTTTTTGATAAAATATAACTAACAACTATCATACCTAATCATAGTTGGTTATAATTAATGGTACTAATTAAAAAATGCATTAAATCTTTAAAATTTGCAATATTTTCAAAATACCCTGTGATATATTAGCTTTGTCCCAACATCTCACAAAACCGTAATATTACGGTCATCGTCATGCGCAGTAAATAAAAACCGTTCGACTTTGGGCTTTATTGATAGGTTTTTATTTACTGCGCATGACGATGACCGTAATATTACGGTTTTGTGAGATGTTGGGACAAAGCTATTATTAATGTTATATTTCAAATATTATGGCTGTTATTTATTATTCATAACTCATAACTAGAATAATAAAGCAAAATCAATGCTGTACATTTTTAACTAATGGATTTTACATAACTGATATTTTTCATTATATTTTTACTACATTTTAAGGTCATTAATAACTATAGGGCATTCACAAATTTTTATCAGAAATATAACATAAACAGTGAAAATCGTTGGAAATAGGGATGTAGGTATAAAACATGTCAATATTTTATTTAAAATACAGGGTGTTTCAGACTTGGTGAATCAAACTTAGGGCTGGATAGAACTTTAAAAATTATTTTAAAAACTTCACAATAGAGGTCGAAAAATGCTCTGTTTCGAATATACAGGGTGTTAAAGTTGAAACGTTGAAGAGGGCTTTCCCTTATTAATTTCGAAACGTCAAGTGATAAGATAGTAACATTTTGTGGAGTTTGTAAGTTTTTTATGCTCAATGTAATAAACATTTTTAAAGTTTTTAATTTGATTCAGAAGCGCAACAATTAGGGGTAGGCAAAGGAAAATATCGCCCCAACTTTTGCGTACGCCACTGGTATATATGTCTTGTTTTTGAATTATGAATATAACTGGTATCTTTAAATTATGTATTAATTTAAGAACAAAACCTATTTTCTATTGGAACAAATATTTCTCTAAAACTACATACCATTTTTTGTTATGTAGGTATATTAAAAATGATAGTGACATTGCCACTGTAGTTGAAAATTATAGTCAGTTTCAAAACTTTGCGAACTTCGACAATAAAGAAATCCAATTATAACAATCCAAAATACTGTTTATTGGAACATAGGGATCAATTTAAAACACTTAATTATGCTCATATTCGTGAAAAACATGATTATTTACGAGAACAAACATACATACATACATACAAAAAATGAAACTGACCAAATTTAATGGTCATTATTCATGACAATAATGATTCATTTGATAAATGTTAATTATACTGTAGGGCTATTTCACTTTTTATTTTATTTAAAATGTATATTCATGAGTGGATATAAAGTATTTTAATAATATATTTTATTGTCCAATAAATGCATAAAATCTAAATCAAAATTAATTATTTATAAAGTGATTTGGATCATATTTGAAACATACCTAGTAAACATAATTTCGAATTGAAGCTTACATTTAATCAAATTGGCTTTCTGTGATATTGAAAATGCCATTAACTTTGATTTTTTAAATTTATCATCTTTTAAATTTTTTGGAATCTACTGTTCAAATTACATATGACGTGTTAATTTTCATTGTACATTTTTTATTTATGAAGTACTAAATTGAGTACAGTTTGGCATTCAACGGATGCCTCACTACTTGTCCTTTTTTGAGACGGCGAGGCATTAAAATAATGCCACAGTCAGAAAATTAGCAAGGAGGACGTGGTTTCATAGTACGCCTCGCTATTTTGCTACAAACATAGGAATTTGCTCTTAGCAGTTAAGCCACAAAAAATGAAATAATTGACAAAAAAAATTTAGTTGAAATATAAAATATATAAATGAGGCTTTATCCAAGTAATATGAGTGTCAAAAAATTTCCTGTCTTCTGACTTTACTTTTTTTCTTCACTCCTGTATTCAACGTGTTAAAAGGTTATGAACTAGAAAATAATGTTCTAATTGGTGGATGGTGCATATTGTCAGATTGGTAATAAAATTCATAATGTAATGACAAAATGGCCTTCAATAGGTACCATTTAAAAAAGTGAAATTTTGGTAAAAAAGGGAAATATTTATTTTTTATGTGAAGGATTTATTTTTAACTCGACTGGTAAAATAGCTTCTGTTTTCAGTTAGTCGAGGCTGTTAGAACATTATTTTCAAATTCATGACCTTAGGAAAAAATAAAAATTTTATTAACACTGTCATATGTAATTTGAACCACATATTACAAAAAACATAAAATATATAGTGTGATCTATGTAAAAAATCAAATCAAACTTAATGGCATTTCTTATATTACAAAAAATATAAAATATATAGTGTGATCTATGTAAAAAATCAAATCAAACTTAATGGCATTTCTGGTAATAGGTATTGGACGTCAGCAAATTTCTTTAAAATAATGTCTAGTAGGTTTTCCCAATTTTGATATAAATTGCATCATAAATAAAAGAGATATTAATGTGACCCTGATCTCATTGTCACTCGGTATATGGAAAAGTGGAAACGAGTTTTGACCGCTTTCCCATATTTATTTTATAAATTAATATTTAGATTTTGTGGTTTTATTAAAATATTATATGATTTTCCTGCTTCGCCAGCTTTTTGCACCGATCGTTAAGTACAATTAAATTTTCTACGACAAACAAATAATTTCATCTTATTCAATGAGCATTGATCTTTAAACTTTTTAAAATCCTCCACAGCATTTGCTCATACTTGGCATATCAGAGTTCCCTTGCACAATGCACATCTTGCTGCAATTGCTTTAATGCCATGATTTTCAAAGGGTTCTAAATTTCTGTGTACTTTTTTCCTTTAAAATTTTAAATATACTCTATCAGTGTCGGTATACCTGGAACACGTATCGACTAAACAATTTTTCAGTTTCACTGGGTTATCAGCAGACAAGGCAGAAAAACATTTTCTAAAACTTTTTTTTTTCGCCAAACCTCAGGTTTTTCCTTGACTTTTTAAGTTTATAGCACACGAGTACGTCCATTTTGAATAAATATAAAATTAATTAAGAATCGAGTATACTTCAAAATACTACCTCTTGTTCTTAAAATTAATGGTTTTAAAAATATCAAGAACCCAAACAATTGATTGTAGATTTACAATCAATTCAACCTGAACAAAAAATAATTAAAGTTTTGTAGCTTTGATACATTATTATATTTACAGAATATACAATATTCCATTTTATATATAGTGGCAGATAGTATAATACATTTTTACTGCATTTTCATCCACGCCGCTGAACTTTCCATTGATAAGGTTCTCAAAGGATTGGAACCAACAGTTCTCTCAAAATATAACCACTGTGGCAATTATAATTCACTTATTAGATGCAAAATAAGTTTCCACATATATCTGTATCGTTAAGGTGGAGGAGGGTGGGTTGCTCCACAGCACTTAGTAGGCCTCATTGTGCATCCTCCAGAGGCATATAGGACCTATCTCCTCTCAACTTGTCAAAAAACCTGCTTGTTGACGCTGAGGGGTATCTAGAGATAGCCATTTTCCCAGCTCATCAAAGACTTGCAGGTGATCAACTCATTAAAAATCTGTTGGATGTCGCTGGGGAGTGTCTAGGGATAGCCAGCCTTTCAGGTAAATGTCCTGCAGGTTAATACCATCGCCAAGAGGTGTCTCTAGATGCTCAATTTTTGGGAAGTGGCCATTTGGTGGGCCTCTATCACCCTGATGGAAAATACCTGGGTTAAGCCATTATTTCCGCCTGCTCCACATATTACTTGCATTTATTTATTTTAAAATTCAACAAGACCACTACAAAATAACATTTAGAAAATTCCTTAAATACCTTAAACAGTAATTTTATGAAAAATAACCATTTTGAAATGACCTGCATATTATTGTAGCTGATGAGCTATATAAAAACTCATCGTTTTTTTTTTAATAAAACTAGTTGTATAATGGCGTTAATTAGCAAAACAAAATAATAGGTACCTAATTACACTTTATAAATGAGCAGTTTAAAGGTAAGATAAGTATAGTTTAATTTATTATTTTTTTGACTTATATTCATGTTTGTTTTTGTATGTATTATATATACAGTATTGGTCATCTTTCAATATCCCTTGGCACAAGTGTGTATGAAAACTACGGAAAGCCAGCACTAGGGCAAGCAGGAAAGGAACAATGCCAGCGATGCCAGCCTATATGGCACCGTTGACACCATTCCTTTTCCGCTCGCTGCAATGCCAACTCTCTGTAGCTTTCACTTGCTCTTGTTTTATCGCGTATTGGAAGACGTTCAGTGGCCGACATTGTACATAGATATTTATAAAACAGCAAAGTGGATAAATATCAAAAACCCTAAATAAATAAATAAATAAAACCTCTGTAATCTTCATTTTTCCACCTTGTTTGAGAGATAGATATTAATAAAATTATTCCTAACTTTTTTTATGGGATATCTTCTTGCCATTTAATCTAATCTCAATGTTCAAGCTATTTTCTACATATTCTCTTTCTAAATCCCCTTTGGTTGGTGTCAATCGTTTTTATTTTTGTTGGACTCTCCAGTATGGAAATTTAGTCTTTTTATTTGTATTGGGGGAAGTTTCAGAAGAAATGACCATTACTGCCCTCTCACAGATTTAAGATTTTACAGATATGACTGTAGTTTGAAATATTCAATTTATTCAAGTATGTTAATGTGCAGTCAATGAGTTCTAATATATACCAAACTATTTTGAATGAGAATAACATTGTGTTAATTTTTTAACAAAACTTTTTATAGTTTTCACTAAGTATGAGCTTCTCGTTGTAAAGTACATGTGGGAGAGGATTAAACATAAAATGAATATACAAGCAAAATAAGAAAAAGCGTGTTAAAAAAATGTTCAATATCACAAGAACATAGTTCGTATCAAAGCTTTTTTTTTAATTCAATTTTATCTAAAAAATATGTTAGAAATAACTAATTAATATTTCGATTCGACTATAAATCAGCTTTTCAAAGTCAGAAGATTGTCTACAAAAAAACATATTTGGAACATTTACTTATCATGTTTACTCAATATGTAATTTTAAACATATTATGGACATAACATTAACTTTGATACAATATTCAAATACTTTTTCATTAGTTTTAAAAACATTTATGCAAAATAACTGTTTCATAATAAAATACGATAGATAGATATATCTGTTTCAAATTGAATTTCGGTAGGTAATTGTGTTTAAAAATGGAAAATAAAGTTTTATAAATTTCATGTATTCATTAAAGAAAACTAAAAAAATAATTTCGAAAGTCTTGTTTAATATAAAAACATGTTTAATAGAATCTGGAAATTAATTATAAATTAAATCAATTTGTAGTCGTGTGGTTATTTGTAAGAGTTCTGTTTAAAATGTACAATCTGGCAACGTTTTTCAGATTTCTGCTCGCACGCGTATGCAAATTACCACTGACAGATCTAGTACTTCTAGTTTAAAATCTATTTTGCTAGGATGGTTTACATTTTTTTGGGAAAATATGTGATAGTTCATGTCAAAATAAAAACATTAATATTTTAAATTTTGCCTAAATGAGATAACTTAATATTAGGCATTCCAACGACCTGCCAAAATGCCCGTGGGTAATGACAGGTGACAGGTTATGATATGAGGTCTTTTCCTTTGCATCGAAAGTGTAGCACTGAGCTACACCACTTCTGAAAATATCGTTCCATTTATACAAATTGTATGGATGGAACGATATTTTCAGGGGGGCTATTTTCAAACTCGAGAGAATTCATTTCTCTCAAGAGAAATGTCATACGTCAACGTAAAACCGTATTTTTAGGGCTCTTAGGGCCAGTGTGAACTCACTGACTGTTTCTCTCGGTTTATTTAGAGAGAATTAAAATCTTCCTAAGAATTTTAATCCTCGATGCCTTTAAAAACAACATTTCCACATTGACGTATGACATTTCTGATGAGAATCTTGAGAGAAATGAGTACTCACACAGTTTGAAAATAGGTCCCAAGGGGGGCTATTTTCAAAGTCGAGAGAATTCATTTCTCTCGAGAGAAATGTCATACGTCAACGTAAAACAGTATTTTTAGGGTCCTAAGGGCCAGTGTGAACTCACTGATTGTTTCTCACGGTTTATTTAGAGATAATTAATATCCTCCTAAGAATTTTATTCCTAGAGGCCTTTAAAAACAGCGTTTCCACATTGACGTATGACATTTCTGATGAGAATCTTGAGAGAAATGAATTCTCTCGACTTTGAAAATAGCCCCCCAGGGGGGCTATTTTCAAAGTATGGGAGCACTCATTTCTCTCAAGATTCTGATCAGAAATGTCATACGTCAATGTGGAAATGTTGTTTTTAAATGCATCGAGGATTAAAATTCTTAGGAAGATTTTAATTATCTCTAAATAAACCGAGAGAAACAGTCAGTGAGTTCACACTGGCCCTAAGAGCCCTAAAAATACGGTTTTACGTTGACGTATGACATTTCTCTTGAGAGAAATGAATTCTCTCGAGTTTGAAAATAGCCCCCCGGAAGTGATGTATCTCAGTGCTACACTTTCGATGCAAAGAAAAAGACCTATGACAACCCTGTGGGCCTGTTGTCTTTGACAGGGTCAATGATACACAGTTATATATATTGCTCAAAGCGGGTCGTTTGCGAGCTGCCATATTGCTCGCAAGTGCTCATAATCAGAATCTGTTTAACAAAAATGTGTTTTAAAACCAATTTTCAGTCTTTGCATATATGCTGCGTTTGAATATCCACATCGGATGCATCTGACTCATCTGAGATGTGAATTTTTGATCACGTGATTCAAGATACGTAAATGTAGTAGGAGCAGATGTGTCAGATGTGGCTACAAACGCTCGAGATTTAAGAATGCATCGGATGTAGATATTCAAATGTAGTAATAGTAAAAAAATAATTACCTACATTTTTACTTCAAGGAATAAACTTATGTTTATTATGAAAAACCTGGATGAAAATGTACCTGTCTATTGCCGCGTTTGAGAATCCACATCCGATGCATCTGAGATGTAAAAAATCTTTGATCACGTGATTCAGTATATGTAAATGTAATGGGATAGATGTGTCCGATGTGGATAAAAAAACGCTCGAGATGTAAAAAATGCATCCGATGTGGATTCTCAAACGCAGCATATATAGCCTTAGGTCTGTTCCAACAACGATCCGAAACCACTCATTGACACCAGGATTCTGCGCAGTAGATTATTTAGTCCGCCAAATTGATACTGCGCACAATCCAGGTGTCAATGACTGGTTTCTGATCGTTGTTGGAAAGGACCTCTTGACTATCCCACAGGGTTGTCATATCATTAATTGTCACAATCTTGTTCAATATCCGTACTATGTATTCTCCATAAAAATTCAAATTGAAAATGGACATCAGCCTTAACATTTTATCATAATGTATGATATAATCAAAATGTATTTCATATTTTAATATAATAATTTATACAAATTTTAAATTGCTCTTCTAAAAACTACCTGCGCGTTAAATAATAGAACGGTTTTGAAAAAGTAACGACTTTGTTGTTTCCGTAAATTATGATTTTAATTTTTCCTAAAAAGTTCAAAACTTTTTAATGCTTGTTTATAGGAAGTAAATGACCCTGCAAAAAATGATGCGGATGAAAAAGTGGAAGAAAAATCTCTTGCTGCACTGTGGGACCTTGGAGCATTTGCTTTGCAAGTACCACAAGATCTCGGAGGTCTTGGATTAACTAACACACAATATGCAAGACTTGTTGAAATTGTAGGATCTCACGATCTTGGTGAGTATTGTAAACTTAGTTTAATACATATTATATAACTAATGCTGAATAATTTTAGGCGTGGGTATTACTTTGGGTGCTCATCAGTCCATTGGTTTTAAAGGAATATTACTAGTTGGAAATCCTGAACAGAAAGCTAAATATTTACCTAGGGTTTCTAGTGGTCAATTTGCTGCTTTCTGCTTGACCGAACCATCATCAGGATCAGATGCTGGATCTATTAAGTATGTTTCTTAGTCAACATAATGTCGATGGCTCAATCAAATACTGCCACAACTAAAATACTATTGTTTTGAGAAATCTCTATTATCATTATTTTGTCTTTGACATATAATCTTTATATTTTATTTAAAAGTTACATTTTGCTGTTAAAATCACGATTACGATTATAAAAGCGCCCTAACTCGAGTTATTGCCTAGTTTGTAAAAAAAAATGGGTGTTTTTGCAGAAAATAACCCGAATTGAGGCAGTTTTAAATACAGTTTGTGTCTAGATTTTAAATTATTTTCTGGCAACTTTAATGGTTTGTGGCGATATTTAAAATAAAAACTCAATGATATTTTGCATCCATTGAACCAAAAATGTAATTTTCTTTGTTTTTTGACTTGTGGCGGTTTTTGATTAAGCCATCGATGTTTTATGTACTTTTTACACATTTGAATGATACATATTGTAAATATCTCTACTCAATTTATGCTTTTACATATATTGTCCCTTAATAAGTAAGTCATAAGTTAGTGGAGTTGAGATTTTAATGTAATTGCCTCTATCCAATATCATCTGACCTATCATAAAGTCCAAAAAGCAAAACATAGCAGGGGCAGAAGTTAGAAAGGCTTTTGATAGGTAGAGAGGGGGTAAACTTTAAACCACGTCGGACGACTTCGAGAATTTCGCAGTAATGTTTATCTGCCAGTGGTGTTTCATAGAATAAGTAATTGTAAATTGTTACCGGCGGAACCGGGCAAACGCATGTGTTTACAGATTAGAAAAACTATTAAACATAATATCCCAAATCATAATTCTACAAAATTTCAACAGTCATTCACACTTTATTAAACCATTCTGAAATTGTTATTAATATCTATAAAATAATTTTGTTTACCAATGTATTACGTCCACAAAACTGTCAAGTTTCTGTGTATGAAGTGGAAGAACTGCGAAAAGCCTTTCCAACTTCTGCCCCTGCTATAACACTGTGTCAGTTTGTGATTTGAAGCAGTGACAAATCACAACCTCAAATAGAATCATAACAAGAAAATATAAATAAAAATGTAAATTTCTTATATCCTGGGGTGTCTGATTTTAATGATATCTACACATGAAAATTCACTCCATTTTGTAATAGACAAATATTTTTAATTTTAGAACAAGAGCAGAACTCTCACCAGATGGCAAGCATTATATTCTTAATGGGTCCAAAATTTGGATCAGTAATGGTGGATTAGCTGAAATTATGACAGTTTTTGCACAAACACCGGTGGTTGATCAAAAAACAGGAAAGACAGTTGATAAAGTTTCAGCTTTCATTGTTGAAAGGGCTTTTGGGGGTGTTACAAATGGACCACCAGAAAAGAAGATGGGAATTAAATGTTCAAATACAGCTGAGGTAAGATACATAGAATTAATTATAAAAAATGAACAAAGAGTTATCGCTATTGTATTGTTTTATTTTAATTTTCGTTGTCATTTTGACTGTTTTAGTTTCTTAAATAAGTTTCCTTTCAGTCAAGCCTTTGAATCAGTTTATTTACATTGTTTCCTTCTCTTTCTGCTATTTATTTTGGCATCATTTGTTAATTTCTAGACCTAATCAAAAATGCTTCTTCCTGAAATTATTCAATTAATTTTATGAGTTCAGTTTCTGTCACATACATTTTTTATTACATTAAACTACTTAAAATTTATAAATTGAGTTATTTCAAACATTTATTCAATTACATGGAAGAATTTCATTTAGAAAGAGTATGAAATATTTAGATTCAAAAAATTTTTGCCCGGCTCCTCCAATTTAAATCGTTTAGGACCGATTCCACCGTTGTGTTAAACGAAGTTTAAAATGACACTTTTACATTAACAATGTCATTTTAATCTCCGTTTAACACAACGGGGGAATCGACCCTTAGTAGTTTACAATCTAACCAAAAAAATTTGCACCTATCTTCCCTATTGATGATTTGTGATATATACTGACTAGAAGTTAATATCTCCTTTCAACTATTTGCTAGTAGATGGCGCATTAGCAGTTGAACTAAATATTTTAGGTGTTTATGGGGTCTATTCTGTAACAATTCCTTTATATTTTAATGGCCGTTAAAAAAATTGGCGGCCTTAAAAATATTTACCCCTATAAGTGGTAATTCTATAACGAATATGTTAAAATATGACATATGTTAAATATGAAAAGCAATTCTATAAATTCATGAAAAATTTTAATTTGTCATAATTAACATAATAGTTCATTTGTGCCTCAAAAATCTATTCTAAAAGCAGAAATATGTTAAAAATTTAAATTAAATGTGTTAATTTTATGCGTTAAATCGAGAATATTAACATGTAGGCTTTAAAACTTAACATATAAGAAATTATGACTTGATTGTTTAATTCAACTTGTAATTTAAGAAAATCATGAAAATTAACCATTTTGAAAGTACTCAAGTACTTTTAACAGTTGAAATTACACAAATTCTGTTTAGAAATTATATTTTATTTATAGTATATATAAACTTTTTGTAGTTAGTAGTTAGTAATTGATACGCCTTATTAGAAGGGCACTTTTATAAGGTTACTGAGGTTAGTTTATGTCTTAGACAAGGAATCTAAGGTTTATGTTAAAAATTGATGGCCTACTAAGTAGCTTTTAAAGTACATTCGGCCATTTTTTCTTCATCTTTATCTTTGTCGGTTGTAAGCAGGTAGGGTTAGGTTTGGCCCTACTGTATTCCCCTGCTTTCCCCGTATTCAGGTACTATATTTGGAATAGTGTATAGTGGAATCATTGTGTAATCCCATTACATGAAGGTGTTTCAGCAAGCAGTGCCCCGTTAGTAATACCACAATGGTGGATATCTGAGGCCTTGCAAGTTGTAGTGCCTCAGAAGCCATGCATGGGTTTGGTCCCCTTAGCATGAGCTTACTGATTCTGTGCCCTCTTATCTGTTGCCAGTGAATTTGGTATTTTGTGGTTATCCACCTGTTCACTGCCTATCGAGCAGAGGTTTTGCTTATCCCAAATACACGTTCGGGTCCTGTGAATAGTAGATCTGATCCCTCTTTGGCGAGTTCATCAGCCTTTTCATTTCATTGGATACCTTTGTGCCCTGGTACCCATGCTAGTTTTACCTTGTTGTGGGTTGACAGATCATTTAGTATTCCAAGGCAGTTCCAGACAAGCTTTGACTTGATTCTGTTTGAATCTAGAGCCTTTAAGGCTGCTTGGCTATCTGAGAGAATTAGGATGGTTTGTTTTTTGTACTGCCTTCTTAAATTCTCTCGTACACACAATTCGATTGCATGTATTTCAGTCTGAAATACAGTGGTATGTTTTCCCAGTGAGACGATGATGTCGCATTTGGGTTTAACTCCATGTACGCCAGAACCTGTTCCCTTGTTAGTTTTAGATCCATCCATATACCATACGAGACCGCTAAGCAAGTATTTATGTATCTCCTTATTTACCTCGTTACAGTTGATCTGGAAGAGTCTGTCGAAAGTTAGGAGGTGTGTCATGTGATCTGATCCCATGTTTAATTTACTTCATGTGTTATTGTGGTATGTTTTATATGTGGGTTCCATTTGTTGGAGATTTCCAGTCTGTATGCACTCATTCTGGCCTCCCCCTTTACGACTGGGTCAAGGGGTGGGAGGTTTAGAATAATTTCCATAGAGGCTGTCGATGTATTTCTTAGTGGTTCTGTAATACAAAGGCAGGCCGCCAGCCTCTGAACTCCTGAGAGGATATTGAGGGCTGTTTTCTGGATAACTTTTGGCCAGCAAACAACCGCTCCATAAGTAATCATGGGTCTTGTTATTGCCAAATATGGACAATTTTTGGTTTTAATCCCCATGTTTTTCCAAATGCCCGTCTCCCTACAATGAGAGACATTTGTTGGTCACTTTCTGTAAGTGTTAGTTCCAAGTAAGTTTGCTATCTAGGATTAGACCCAGATATTTTACTTGGTTCGTTTTGTTTAGCCTTCCTTCAAACAGAGTCGGAGTTTCTAAGACCTCCAACCTTGTTTTCCGAGTAAAAATTATGAGTTGTGCCTTGTCAGGGTTTACGAAGAGGTTTTCCTTAATGCACCATATTTCTGTCAGCCTAAGAGCTCTTTGCATGAGTTTGAAGACTGTGGTTTAGTGTTTCCCTCGGATAAGGATGACTATGTCATCGTCATATCCTTGGGCGCACAGTCCTTGATTGTTCAGTGTTTTCAGCAGTTCATCTGCCACTAGGTTCCACAGTAGAGGAGAAAAGACTCCACCCTGTGGGTATCCCCTGTGGATATTCACCTGCATGGTTTCACTGAACATTTGTGTCTGTACTTGCCATCAGCGTAACATGTCTTCTATCCACCAGCAGATGGTGACATATTCCATGTTTGCGAGCGGCAGCTACCATTGATTTAAAGGAGATATTATCAAAAACTCCTTATATGTCAAGAAATGCTCCTAGGATTATTTCTTGGCTACTGAGACCCCCCATTCGGCCATTACTTTTTTCAATATTCTTGTGCAAAAACAGACAGATACAATAAATATAACAAAAGGAACGTATGGTTATTTGTTTGAAATTTTAACGTATGCGTTAATTTTATTTTTACAGAATTACAATTTATGCTAAAAACGTAAAATTTAACACCCGTTAAAAATAAACGTATTGAATTACTGAATTACCACTATACAATGATCACTCTACTAGTTATTATCAGATAGAATAGGCAACATAATATAACCAGAACGTATTAAAAGTTGCCTATTTAATTACGAATTATGACACATTTTAGAGCAATCTGCTGTTTGTCAGTATAAAATAACTGAATATTTTCTTGATTGTAAAGGTTTACAGTTTGTTGTTATTCATTTATCTTTAAATAACATTTTTTTGTTTTACATTTAGGTATACTATGATAATGTAAAAGTGCCTGTTGAAAATCTTTTGGGTGGTTTAGGAAATGGATTCAAAGTTGCCATGAATATTTTAAACAATGGCCGATTTGGTATGGCAGCGGCACTTTCTGGTACAATGAAAGCTTGTACCAAGAAAGCAGTTGAGTTTGCGACTCAGAGGAAGCAGTTTGGACAAAGAATTGACAGTTTTGGAACAATTCAGGAAAAGTTGGCCCGTATGGCGATGCTTCATTATGTAACTGAATCAATGGCATATATGATTTCTGGAAATATGGACAGTGGCAGTCAACATTATCATTTGGAAGCTGCTATATCCAAGGTAAAAAAAAAGCATAGCAATTTAATCTATTGGTGATACTGTTTTTTTATCTATTTAATGATACTTCTTATTACCAATACAAAAATATAAATACTAATTATATAATCATATTATATTATTTTCCTCTTTTTAGTGCTTTGCATCTGAGGCTGCCTGGTACGTTTGTGATGAAGCAATCCAAATTATGGGAGGTATGGGCTTCATGAAGGGCACTGGACTGGAAAAAGTAATGAGAGATTTAAGAATATTTAGGATATTTGAAGGAACGAATGATATCTTAAGATTGTTCGTCGCGTTGACAGGTATTCAATATGCTGGAGCTCATTTACGGGAGCTTCAAATGGCATTTAAGAACCCAACAGCTCATTTAGGACTTATATTTGAAGAAGCATCCAAGAGAGTGGTTAGAAAAGTTGGATTGAGTTCTCCTCCTGCTATGGAACATCTGGTTCACAGGGATTTAGCACCTAGTGCTGCTTTAACAGCAAAGGTAATTTTTTTTGTTTATTATATATATGAGAACATAACATAAAACTTTCAGTTAGGGAGTTATGACACATTAACTCAGTTGCCATCAAACAGTGTTGCCAGTGCTTTCTTTCTAAATCTAGTAACTTTTCAAAATTTCTAGTACGCTAGTACGCCCAAATACAATTTAGTACGTTTTCATATGGGCCATTTTTTAGCTGTATATTAAAATCAAACGGTCAAAGGCCAGTAATTAAAAAGAACATCAATTTTTGTTCTTATTATTGATCCATTTTGTATTACTTATTTTTCACTGGGCACTGATGACTACACAGAGGTAGCCAAATATCGTTAACTATGAGTATCGTTGGAAAATACTGCCACCAAATATAAATGGGCTAATTCGCTGATCTAAGGGTATTCCTTGATAAATTTACAATATTTCCTTGGGCCCAAGTACTTGGGTGCTTTTCTGACACACCTGGCTATTAGAGATGTCTCAAACAGCACACATTTATTTTGCTTCTCAATCAGAAGCATGTGATTAAGGCCATAAGAGGCTCATAAAAACAAATTTTTAAATTTTACTGATTTTTCACTTAATTTTAGTTTCCAAAATGTGGTCACACTAGTATCTGACTAAACGATTGATATATTTTACAATTTTAGGGCTGTTTTTGGTTTTAAATCTTTTTAATTTAGTGTATTATTATTAAGGGAAGACCCAATCTTAAAGTTATTAAATAAAATAATTCTAAATAATAAATGGCCTCTACCTTTTTTTTTTCATACTTCCTGCACTATTTCTATAAGGTGGCAGTGTAACAGTAGCTTCGTTCGCGGTAACAATTCGGAACTGATTCAGAATTACTAATTCATAGCTTGAGCGCATGCCCGATTAATTATCAATTCTGAATTTTTACCGCGCGCGCAATCCCTATTATATCTCAAGTGTTCCAGGTATAGTCAAGCGGTTCAAAATCAATAATAATTTTACCGCGAACTCAGGGTAGAACTAATTGTTCAGTTTTTTTTTTGTTCTGTAAACGCTTTTTAACTACTGCGCCTGTGAAATCGTTACTATTAGTATCTGTATCTGTAATGTGTGGAGGGTGGGTTACCCCCACGGCACTTAGGCCTCATTAGGCCCATTGTGCATCCTCCTGAGAAGATTGGCACCTCTTAGCTAGTGAGCCAGCCTACAGATTTAATGTAGTTGACAACGTCGCCAAGAGGTGCTTCTCTTATATCGGCCAGTGTTAGCCGATACAAGCCGAACACAAATCTTCTAATAAATGAGAGCGTCGAGCAATCGTAAAGGATATGCTCGATGGTCTCATCTTCTTGTTCGCACCCTCTGTAGAATGCGGATTCTGACAGTCCCATGATATGGAGATGCTTTCGTACTTGGCAATGACCAGTTAGAATGCCTGTGACTAGGCGCAGATTCTGTCTAGTCATAGTCAAGTTTTTGTTTGCTGCAGTGTTGTCAGGATAACTTAAGATCTCCCTGGCAACTCTGTAGTTTCTTGTTTCATCTCATCTTTTCTTGAATTTCACAAGGGAATGTTCTTTGATTAGGTCTGTCGCTACCGATTTATTTTCAATTTACTCACCTCCAATTTCCTATGTTCTATTAAAGTGAATAACAATTAGCCCCACTCTACCATATGATCATTTGTGATTTCTATAATCTTAAATGGTTTGAATGTTTTTGCGTAAGTGGCGCTGTTAGTTATTACTTTTGTGAGATAGGCAACACCTTATACTCTAGTGTGTATTAAAAGTTGCCTACACAAACTTATCTATTTTTCATTTACTAATAATAACTAAACGTTTTAAACTTTTTCAGAGTATCGATTCTTTTGGTCAAGCAGTAGAAATGGTTTTAATTAAATATGGAAAAAATATAGTGAATGAACAGTTTATATTAAATCGACTCGCTAATGCAACTTTTGACATATTTAGTAGTGCAGTAGTCCTGTCTAGAGCTAGTACGTCACTTAACGAAGGTTTAAGTACAGCAAGTCATGAAAAATTGATGGCAGAAGCATGGACTCTGGAAGTAAGTACTGATATTTTTGTTATTTTCATGATTCTGTAGGGTTTTCGATTGTGAATTTATTCAATATTTCCAAGACTTTTCTAGGTGTCCATTCAAGGACGTCTCCAAGACGAATTTTCGGGGGGGCATTGCCTTTAGCCATTCCCTTTTTAGCATATTTTTTTGAATAAAAGGCCCATAAATCGGAAGAATTTTCTTCTCGATGGGGGGGGCCATGAGGAAGTCCTAATTTTACAGGGTTATCCACCTTTATTTTTTTGATTTTTATAATTCTTTTATGTTTTTTTTTTCTATTTCAGGCAACAGAAAGAGCCGAAGCACAGTTAAAAATAATAGCATCAGGAAAGCATTTGGATAATTTCTCAAAAATGAGCGTCATTTCGAAGAACCTTTGCCAAGCTGAGGGCATCGTACAAACTAACCCATTGCGATTTTAATAATTTATGTTTTTACCTATTTTACATGATGTACAATAACTGTTTATTTCTAGTTTACCTTAAAAATAGTCTGTAAGATTAAAACTTATTATACCACTTTTTTTTTAAATTAATATATTTGTAAATAAATTATTTTTGTAAAATAATAGGTCCGTTGATAAAAATAATTTTTTTTATACATTATTGTCTTTCTGTTACCCTCATTGATAAAGCAATTTGAAAAAAATATTTATGAAATCCGAAATCGACGAAAAGTGGTTACCGAGAAAAACGAGAAAAAAACAATCAAATCTTAAATTAGAGAAGCAACTGAGCGAGGAGATATCAAAAACTTTTATTTTTGCCACAACTTTTTTAATATTGCTGTTAGCAAAAACCAGTATATTTTTGAGATCTACATGTGACCTTCCATCCGTATGCAAATTTAAATTGTTTTTTATTTTTTCAAAAAAATCGAAAGGGAGCCTTCCAAATTTTTCGACAAAAAATTTTTTTGGGTCCGATCTTAATGAAAATTGGGGTACATATAAAGGAAAGCACGAGCAATTAAGGGGTGAACTCAGTTACTCCCTAGCTATAAGGGTTAACTTTTTTTTCTTAATTCCTCAGTTAATAATAATCGAATTATTCCATAAATTCACATAAAGGTAGAGCCGTACGGATAGTTTAAAATGCCCTCTGCGGCTTGCCTCTATCTTGAGTCGTTTAGTCGTTATTCACATTTAAAAATAAGTCAAATACCTTGTCGCGTTTCTGCTATCCTGATATCAAAATTTTGTAGACAAAATTGAATCTTTTCGAATTCGGAACTTTGTATCAGGATAATAGATGAGCGAGGAGATATCAAAAATTTTTATTTTTGCCGCAACTTTTTTAATATTGCTGTTAGAAAAAAACTGAGTATATTTTTGAGATCTACATGTGACCTTCTATCCGTATGCAAATTTAAATTGTTTTTTATTTTTTCAAAAAAATCGAAAGGGTGCCTTCCAAATTTTTCGACAAAAAATTTTTTTGGGTCCGATCTTGATGAAAATTGGCGTACATATAAAGGAAAGCACGAGCAATTAAGGGGTGAACTCAGTTACTCCCTAGCTATAAGGGTTAACTTTTTTTTCTTAATTCCTCAGTTAATAATAATCGAATTATTCCATAAATTCACATAAAGGTAGAGCCGGACGGATAGTTTAAAATGCCCTCTGCGGCTTGCCTCTATCTTGAGCTGTTTAGTCGTTATTCACATTTAAAAATAAGTCAAATACCTTGTCGCGTTTCTGCTATCCTGATACCAAAATTTTGTAGACAAAATTGGATCTTTTCGAATTCGGAACTTTGTATCAGGATAATAGATGAGCGAGGAGATATCAAAATTTTTTATTTTTGTCACAACTTTTTTAATATTGCTGTTAGAAAAAAACTGAGTATATTTTTGAGATCTACATGTGACCTTCTATCCGTATGCAAATTTAAATTGTTTTTTATTTTATCAAAAAAATCGAAAGGGAGCCTTCCAAATTTATCGACAAAAAATTTTTTTGTGTCCGATCTTGATGAAAATTGGCGTACATATAAAGGAAAGCACGAGCAATTAAGGGGTGAACTCAGTTACTCCCTAGCTATAAGGGTTAACTTTTTTTTCTTAATTCCTCAGTTAATAATAATCAAATTATTCCATAAATTCACATAAATGTAGAGCCGGACGGATAGTTTAAAATGCCCTCTGCGGCTTGCCTCTATCTTGAGCCGTTTAGTCGTTATTCACATTTAAAAATAAGTCAAATACCTTGTCGCGTTTCTGCTATCCTGATACCAAAATTTTGTAGACAAAATTGGATCTTTTCGAATTCGGAACTTAGTATCAGGATAATAGATGAGCGAGGAGATATCAAAAATGTTTATTTTTGCCACAACTTTTTTAATATTGCTGTTAGAAAAAAACTGAGTATATTTTTGAGATCTACATGTGACCTTCTATCCGTATGCAAATTTAAATTGTTTTTTATTTTATCAAAAAAATCGAAAGGGTATAGCCTTCCAAATTTTTCGACAAAAAATTTTTTTGTGTCCGATCTTGATGAAAATTGGCGTACATATAAAGGAAAGCACGAGCAATTAAGGGGTGAACTCAGTTACTCCCTAGCTATAAGGGTTAACTTTTTTTTCTTAATTCCTCAGTTAATAATAATCGAATTATTCCATAAATTCACATAAAGGTAGAGCCGTACGGATAGTTTAAAATGCCCTCTGCGGCTTGCCTCTATCTTGAGTCGTTTAGTCGTTATTCACATTTAAAAATAAGTCAAATACCTTGTCGCGTTTCTGCTATCCTGATACCAAAATTTTGTAGACAAAATTGAATCTTTTCGAATTCGGAACTTTGTATCAGGATAATAGATGAGCGAGGAGATATCAAAAATTTTTATTTTTGCCGCAACTTTTTTAATATTGCTGTTAGAAAAAAACTGAGTATATTTTTGAGATCTACATGTGACCTTCTATCCGTATGCAAATTTAAATTGTTTTTTATTTTATCAAAAAAATCGAAAGGGTTATAGCCTTCCAAATTTTTCGACAAAAATTTTTTTTGTGTCCGATCTTGATGAAAATTGGCGTACATATAAAGGAAAGCACGAGCAATTAAGGGGTGAACTCAGTTACTCCCTAGCTATAAGGGTTAACTTTTTTTTCTTAATTCCTCAGTTAATAATAATCGAATTATTCCATAAATTCACATAAAGGTAGAGCCGGACGGATAGTTTAAAATGCCCTCTGCGGCTTGCCTCTATCTTGAGCTGTTTAGTCGTTATTCACATTTAAAAATAAGTCAAATACCTTGTCGCGTTTCTGCTATCCTGATACCAAAATTTTGTAGACAAAATTGGATCTTTTCGAATTCGGAACTTTGTATCAGGATAATAGATGAGCGAGGAGATATCAAAATTTTTTATTTTTGTCACAACTTTTTTAATATTGCTGTTAGAAAAAAACTGAGTATATTTTTGAGATCTACATGTGACCTTCTATCCGTATGCAAATTTAAATTGTTTTTTATTTTATCAAAAAAATCGAAAGGGTATAGCCTTCCAAATTTATCGACAAAAAATTTTTTTGTGTCCGATCTTGATGAAAATTGGCGTACATATAAAGGAAAGCACGAGCAATTAAGGGGTGAACTCAGTTACTCCCTAGCTATAAGGGTTAACTTTTTTTTCTTAATTCCTAAGTTAATAATAATCGAATTATTCCATAAATTCACATAAATGTAGAGCCGGACGGATAGTTTAAAATGCCCTCTGCGGCTTGCCTCTATCTTGAGCCGTTTAGTCGTTATTCACATTTAAAAATAAGTCAAATACCTTGTCGCGTTTCTGCTATCCTGATACCAAAATTTTGTAGACAAAATTGGATCTTTTCGAATTCGGAACTTAGTATCAGGATAATAGATGAGCGAGGAGATATCAAAAATGTTTATTTTTGCCACAACTTTTTTAATATTGCTGTTAGAAAAAAACTGAGTATATTTTTGAGATCTACATGTGACCTTCTATCCGTATGCAAATTTAAATTGTTTTTTATTTTTTCAAAAAAATCGAAAGGGTATAGCCTTCCAAATTTATCGACAAAAAATTTTTTTGTGTCCGATCTTGATGAAAATTGGCGTACATATAAAGGAAAGCACGAGCAATTAAGGGGTGAACTCAGTTACTCCCTAGCTATAAGGGTTAACTTTTTTTTCTTAATTCCTCAGTTAATAATAATCGAATTATTCCATAAATTCACATAAATGTAGAGCCGGACGGATAGTTTAAAATGCCCTCTGCGGCTTGCCTCTATCTTGAGCCGTTTAGTCGTTATTCACATTTAAAAATAAGTCAAATACCTTGTCGCGTTTCTGCTATCCTGATACCAAAATTTTGTAGACAAAATTGGATCTTTTCGAATTCGGAACTTAGTATCAGGATAATAGATGAGCGAGGAGATATCAAAAATGTTTATTTTTGCCACAACTTTTTTAATATTGCTGTTAGAAAAAAACTGAGTATATTTTTGAGATCTACATGTGACCTTCTATCCGTATGCAAATTTAAATTGTTTTTTATTTTATCAAAAAAATCGAAAGGGTATAGCCTTCCAAATTTTTCGACAAAAAATTTTTTTGTGTCCGATCTTGATGAAAATTGGCGTACATATAAAGGAAAGCACGAGCAATTAAGGGGTGAACTCAGTTACTCCCTAGCTATAAGGGTTAACTTTTTTTTCTTAATTCCTCAGTTAATAATAATCGAATTATTCCATAAATTCACATAAAGGTAGAGCCGTACGGATAGTTTAAAATGCCCTCTGCGGCTTGCCTCTATCTTGAGTCGTTTAGTCGTTATTCACATTTAAAAATAAGTCAAATACCTTGTCGCGTTTCTGCTATCCTGATACCAAAATTTTGTAGACAAAATTGAATCTTTTCGAATTCGGAACTTTGTATCAGGATAATAGATGAGCGAGGAGATATCAAAAATTTTTATTTTTGCCGCAACTTTTTTAATATGGCTGTTAGAAAAAAACTGAGTATATTTTTGAGATCTACATGTGACCTTCTATCCGTATGCAAATTTAAATTGTTTTTTATTTTTTCAAAAAAATCGAAAGGGTATAGCCTTCCAAATTTTTCGACAAAAAATTTTTTTGGGTCCGATCTTGATGAAAATTAGGGTACATATAAAGGAAAGCACGAGCAATTAAGGGGTGAACTCAGTTACTCCCTAGCTATAAGGGTTAACTTTTTTTTCTTAATTCCTCAGTTAATAATAATCGAATTATTCCATAAATTCACATAAAGGTAGAGCCGGACGGATAGTTTAAAATGCCCTCTGCGGCTTGCCTCTATCTTGAGCTGTTTAGTCGTTATTCACATTTAAAAATAAGTCAAATACCTTGTCGCGTTTCTGCTATCCTGATACCAAAATTTTGTAGACAAAATTGGATCTTTTCGAATTCGGAACTTTGTATCAGGATAATAGATGAGCGAGGAGATATCAAAAATTTTTATTTTTGCCACAACTTTTTTAATATTGCTGTTAGAAAAAAACTGAGTATATTTTTGAGATCTACATGTGACCTTCTATCCGTATGCAAATTTAAATTGTTTTTTATTTTATCAAAAAAATCGAAAGGGTTATAGCCTTCCAAATTTTTCGACAAAAATTTTTTTTGTGTCCGATCTTGATGAAAATTGGCGTACATATAAAGGAAAGCACGAGCAATTAAGGGGTGAACTCAGTTACTCCCTAGCTATAAGGGTTAACTTTTTTTTCTTAATTCCTCAGTTAATAATAATCGAATTATTCCATAAATTCACATAAAGGTAGAGCCGGACGGATAGTTTAAAATGCCCTCTGCGGCTTGCCTCTATCTTGAGCTGTTTAGTCGTTATTCACATTTAAAAATAAGTCAAATACCTTGTCGCGTTTCTGCTATCCTGATACCAAAATTTTGTAGACAAAATTGGATCTTTTCGAATTCGGAACTTTGTATCAGGATAATAGATGAGCGAGGAGATATCAAAAATTTTTATTTTTGCCACAACTTTTTTAATATTGCTGTTAGAAAAAAACTGAGTATATTTTTGAGATCTACATGTGACCTTCTATCCGTATGCAAATTTAAATTGTTTTTTATTTTATCAAAAAAATCGAAAGGGTTATAGCCTTCCAAATTTTTCGACAAAAATTTTTTTTGTGTCCGATCTTGATGAAAATTGGCGTACATATAAAAGGAAAGCACGAGCAATTAAGGGGTGAACTCAGTTACTCCCTAGCTATAAGGGTTAACTTTTTTTTCTTAATTCCTAAGTTAATAATAATCGAATTATTCCATAAATTCACATAAAGGTAGAGCCGTACGGATAGTTTAAAATGCCCTCTGCGGCTTGCCTCTATCTTGAGCCGTTTAGTCGTTATTCACATTTAAAAATAAGTCAAATACCTTGTCGCGTTTCTGCTATCCTGATACCAAAATTTTGTAGACAAAATTGGATCTTTTCGAATTCGGAACTTAGTATCAGGATAATAGATGAGCGAGGAGATATCAAAAATGTTTATTTTTGCCACAACTTTTTTAATATTGCTGTTAGAAAAAAACTGAGTATATTTTTGAGATCTACATGTGACCTTCTATCCGTATGCAAATTTAAATTGTTTTTTATTTTTTCAAAAAAATCGAAAGGGTATAGCCTTCCAAATTTTTCGACAAAAAATTTTTTTGGGTCCGATCTTGATGAAAATTAGGGTACATATAAAGGAAAGCACGAGCAATTAAGGGGTGAACTCAGTTACTCCCTAGCTATAAGGGTTAACTTTTTTTTCTTAATTCCTCAGTTAATAATAATCGAATTATTCCATAAATTCACATAAAGGTAGAGCCGGACGGATAGTTTAAAATGCCCTCTGCGGCTTGCCTCTATCTTGAGCTGTTTAGTCGTTATTCACATTTAAAAATAAGTCAAATACCTTGTCGCGTTTCTGCTATCCTGATATCAAAATTTTGTAGACAAAATTGAATCTTTTCGAATTCGGAACTTTGTATCAGGATAATAGATGAGCGAGGAGATATCAAAAATTTTTATTTTTGCCGCAACTTTTTTAATATTGCTGTTAGAAAAAAACTGAGTATATTTTTAAGATCTACATGTGACCTTCTATCCGTATGCAAATTTAAATTGTTTTTTATTTTTTCAAAAAAATCGAAAGGGTGCCTTCCAAATTTTTCGACAAAAAATTTTTTTGGGTCCGATCTTGATGAAAATTAGGGTACATATAAAGGAAAGCACGAGCAATTAAGGGGTGAACTCAGTTACTCCCTAGCTATAAGGGTTAACTTTTTTTTCTTAATTCCTCAGTTAATAATAATCGAATTATTCCATAAATTCACATAAAGGTAGAGCCGGACGGATAGTTTAAAATGCCCTCTGCGGCTTGCCTCTATCTTGAGCTGTTTAGTCGTTATTCACATTTAAAAATAAGTCAAATACCTTGTCGCGTTTCTGCTATCCTGATACCAAAATTTTGTAGACAAAATTGGATCTTTTCGAATTCGGAACTTTGTATCAGGATAATAGATGAGCGAGGAGATATCAAAAATTTTTATTTTTGTCACAACTTTTTTAATATTGCTGTTAGAAAAAAACTGAGTATATTTTTGAGATCTACATGTGACCTTCTATCCGTATGCAAATTTAAATTGTTTTTTATTTTATCAAAAAAATCGAAAGGGTATAGCCTTCCAAATTTATCGACAAAAAATTTTTTTGTGTCCGATCTTGATGAAAATTGGCGTACATATAAAGGAAAGCACGAGCAATTAAGGGGTGAACTCAGTTACTCCCTAGCTATAAGGGTTAACTTTTTTTTCTTAATTCCTCAGTTAATAATAATCGAATTATTCCATAAATTCACATAAATGTAGAGCCGGACGGATAGTTTAAAATGCCCTCTGCGGCTTGCCTCTATCTTGAGCCGTTTAGTCGTTATTCACATTTAAAAATAAGTCAAATACCTTGTCGCGTTTCTGCTATCCTGATACCAAAATTTTGTAGACAAAATTGGATCTTTTCGAATTCGGAACTTAGTATCAGGATAATAGATGAGCGAGGAGATATCAAAAATGTTTATTTTTGCCACAACTTTTTTAATATTGCTGTTAGAAAAAAACTGAGTATATTTTTGAGATCTACATGTGACCTTCTATCCGTATGCAAATTTAAATTGTTTTTTATTTTATCAAAAAAATCGAAAGGGTATAGCCTTCCAAATTTTTCGACAAAAAATTTTTTTGTGTCCGATCTTGATGAAAATTGGCGTACATATAAAGGAAAGCACGAGCAATTAAGGGGTGAACTCAGTTACTCCCTAGCTATAAGGGTTAACTTTTTTTTCTTAATTCCTCAGTTAATAATAATCGAATTATTCCATAAATTCACATAAAGGTAGAGCCGTACGGATAGTTTAAAATGCCCTCTGCGGCTTGCCTCTATCTTGAGTCGTTTAGTCGTTATTCACATTTAAAAATAAGTCAAATACCTTGTCGCGTTTCTGCTATCCTGATACCAAAATTTTGTAGACAAAATTGAATCTTTTCGAATTCGGAACTTTGTATCAGGATAATAGATGAGCGAGGAGATATCAAAAATTTTTATTTTTGCCGCAACTTTTTTAATATTGCTGTTAGAAAAAAACTGAGTATATTTTTGAGATCTACATGTGACCTTCTATCCGTATGCAAATTTAAATTGTTTTTTATTTTTTCAAAAAAATCGAAAGGGTATAGCCTTCCAAATTTTTCGACAAAAATTTTTTTTGTGTCCGATCTTGATGAAAATTGGCGTACATATAAAGGAAAGCACGAGCAATTAAGGGGTGAACTCAGTTACTCCCTAGCTATAAGGGTTAACTTTTTTTTCTTAATTCCTCAGTTAATAATAATCGAATTATTCCATAAATTCACATAAAGGTAGAGCCGGACGGATAGTCTATAATGCACAATGCCGCTGATCTCTATCTTGAGCCGTTTCAGAGTTATTCAAATATTATAAATTTTGTAGTTGACAGGCAACACAGAATACACTGATATGTAATATTGGTTGCCTATATTTAAACGAGATATCTATTAGCGACTAGATAAAACAATATAGTTATAGCTATTTGCCAATAGATGGCTAAAAACTAATTATAGGCAACCAACATTACACGTTAATGTATTCTGTGTTGCCTTTTAACTACAAGTTTATATTGTTTAATAACAGATAGCTTAAAAGTTAATATTTTTGATTTAGGAAATAAAAGAAAAGAATTCGATTAAGGAGATATTTATTTATGAAAAATAACAATTTAAAATATAAAAGCATAAATGATATAGAAATTGTACAATATTTAAAGGAAACATACATAATAAACAAAAAGAAACATGTTTTAAATTATAAAGAAGACAGAGTAATTACAGAATTAAAAATAAGTCATGACAAACAAACAATTACATATACATGTGTAAATAAAGTGGTGGATTATGACAAACTAAAATGGGTAATCAATTTATTTGAACTGAGAATCAACGGGATTTATCCAATAATGCTACAAAGAAGACCTGATATTTTATACAGAAGACTGCAACACTCAACATTTTTTTCTTTACTTTTTAATTCACCAATAATAGATGATTAAAATTTTATTGAAAGGACTGAACTAATAAACATGGTACATGATTTTTATTAATATCTATTTTTACATGTATTGGTTTGGTTTACAATACTAATGTCTAAGAATTAAAAATTTCTGATTTAATATTTGTCTCTAATTCACAGACCCAATGACTTTGGTATTACATACACTTTTGTAATCGTCTATTATAGAACAATTCAAAAATGAAAAGAAAAATAGACGCGCAGTTGAAAATAAAAATATTAGATTTGTGTTTGGCGACGTTGCCAACTACATTAAATCTGTAGGCTGGCTCACGAGCTAGGAGGATGCACAATGGGCCTAAGTGCCGTGCGGTAACCCACCCTCCACACATTACAGATGGCTATCTATGAATAAATGGTTAGTTTCAGCTCATGATTAGCATTATTAATAGATGACGTTAGTATAGTCTTTTTTTCGTAATTTAGTGCATAGTAAGCCCTTAGCCTTCTTGGAATAAGACTAACAATAAGAAGAGGAATGGCCATATGCAAATTGATGTCTTTTTGGAAGAGGAAACAAGAAAATAGAAGATTTATTTTTTAACGTTTTAAGTACAATTGAACTGGATTTCATTGTTTAAATGAAATCGTAAATTTTTGTGCATGCTGCAAATAATTACAAAAGCCATATTTGATGGGAACTATGAAATGAAAATCAATTTTATTTTTTACATTTATTAAAAGCAATTTTAACAAGCAATTTAACCACATATTGTTATTGAAAGTTATAATTTATAACGGTATTTTTATTTATTCTACAATTGCCTCCATCTGATAATTTATTAAGTTACAAGATTATGAAATTTAAATTGTAAATGTGAGTATAATTTCTCGCATTTACCGTATTAATATATATATTTGTAATTTTTGGTCTTAATTCTATATTTTCTAACCAAGAGCTACGGTTTTACAATCAATGTGTCAAAGATTTATATCTATAATAGACACCCAGTAGAAATTTCAAATTCAGTAATTTTCAAAGGTGGATAGTAAACTACTAAAATGATTACTTACATATTATCATGATTAAAATATGTATTATGTAGACTAGGTATGCCCTCTATAAATAAATTTGGAAAAATATATAATTATATTACAAATATAAATTGCAACAATTTAGAAATAAAAAATATTTACATTATGCCTAAACTTCTAAAGTAGCCGTTAATGAGAATATAAAAGCATAGAAGATCAATATCTTTTGACCAGCAGAAGAAAGTTTCTCTTAAGATTTTTAATCTGTTACTTATATTAAAGTGATTTATTTTCTTTCAATCAATTGAAAAATATCGAACGAAACAAAAAAAAAACAGAAAATCAATTAATAACAGTTTATGAATTAGAATAATGAAAATCTACTAGGTATAATAATTAAAGATTGATGTTAATTAATAATGCTGTAATTTAAAATATATTAACTAAATAACAGTTACCCTTTTCCATGCAATAAATATTTTACACAATTCAAAACCAAATGAATTAAAAACAGTAAAAAACTACTTAAATTGCAGATAAAATTACATCTGCTATTAAAAAAAAAAAAAAAAACGGACATGTCCTAAAAGCAGAGTAAAATAAGAAATATTACACAACAAATTTTACTTACAATCAAGATGACTAGTACAGATCGAGTTTGTAAAAAGATATTAATGGAAGAAGATAATTTCGATCAAAAGCAATACTAATACTGAAATCACACGTTTTTTGCTTTTGATCAAAACTATATTTTGCATTCCAAATTTCAATTATGACATCTAATGCAGACCATAGAAAAAAAAAACAGGAAGTACTTTATTTTTAAATAATGTTTTACAAATTATTTACTTTTTCAGTCTAGTCTGGCTTTTATTTTATCGATGTTCACAAATTAGTTGTACTGAATCGACCAAATCGAAAAGATATTGAATAATTTAGTATAAACGACATTAAATAATTCCATATTGGTTCAATTCCATCAATTTGAATAATTGTTGAATGAGCCTCAGTCAATTATTTTAAATAGATAATATAATTGCAAGTTACTGATTTAATATATTATATAATATATAAATATCAGAAATAAAGCAAGAAATAATGTATATTTAGGCATCAGGCGAATAAAAAGAATAGATCACAGGTGTCATAAGAGGCGACTAAAATAACTACCTCTGAAGGGACAAAGGACATCTAGATTAGCCTAGAAACATCGTCACCTTTTGGTTAATTTATAATAGTAACCTGGTTGACTAAGAGGAAGTCACTTTGCCCCTAGAGGATTCACAATGAGCCTAGTGCACTGAACTTCGCTTACAGTACTCGCTGAAGGTGGCATTCAGTTTATCATTTAAAATAAAACCATCTACAGTAGAAAAATAAGTCAGAAAGACACATTAGGTTTAGTAAGGATGTTGTAAAATTTAATTCTTCAAACTATTATTTTTAAAAAAAATTGATATCTAAACTCATCATCAATAACTTTGGAAATCTAGCAAAAACATGAACGAAACAAATATGGAGCATTAGATGACACTATTGACTAGTGGGTACATTATCAAAAACTAAAAACGTAACCAATTAATAGAAAGTTGCCATTTTTTCCTACGCACCTATCCCTGCTTGTATACACATATAATCTCAACAATAAATTATACACAGCAATGTTAACTTTTTAAAGACACTTAATGGTTAAAAAAATAAATTTATATTTCAGGCATTTCTACTAAATTATCAGGCAGTGTCGAATATTTTATATGCGGTTACGAATGTTTTACTTATAAAATTTGATCGATAAATAATACAATTTTCTACAAGTTTTCTTATTAATTAAAACAATTTTTAGAAATTACAAAAATACACAAAAATAAAGCAATTTTTTTATTTGTTGAAAATTTACAATCTAGTCAGTTACAAGTTAGTAATAAGTAAATAGTAACAAATTTAATAAACATTTTTTTAAATGAGAAAGAAACCGCTTCCCCATCCCCACAACCTCAATCAATAAGTTTTATATATTTCAACTATTAGAATATAATAGTACGTTTTTTTTTACTGGAAAATATTTGTATTCATTTAAAAAAAGTAACCGGTTGTGGCCCCCTTGCGAAAATCTGCATAGAAACGGTTGTTAATCTAGTTGCAGATCTTTTTTGTTAAAATAATTAACAGTAACATAACTAAAATCAATAAAAATTCAATTTTAATATTTAACATTAATCAGTCCACAAAATCATTACGCCAGCTATAGGGTAGTGAGTACCATCCAAAATATGAATTAAACATTACACAATTCCTTATACTCAATCACTTAAGTAAATCAGTCCTTCAAACAATTCAAATTATTTTGAATGGTACTAAATTGTTTTTTTAACCACCAAGGTAATGAAGTACTATTAAAGGCATTATCTTCAGAATCTACACTTAAAATTCCAAATTTAAAGTTATTTATTTTTGCTTTAATTCCGTTATTTTATTACAGTTACCTTTTAGGAATATGTTTTTGTAATTGTGGTTTCATGCCTGAGAAGTTAAGTCTTACTGATTTGAGAAATCATTACGTCAAAAAACAGTTGGTTCAACTGAATAATTTTAAATAATTTTTAAAAATATCAATAAACTTTTTAAAAAAACATTGAAGAATGAAAAATATATACATTGATAAGTGGGAATTTTATGTATAGAATCTGGAACTAATCTGTAATTTAGAATTAAAACTGCAAAAGTGTACACAAACATCAACAATTAAATAAGTTATATAAGGGCATTTCTAATAATAAATCAATAAAATTACACTATGTGTGGATGTATACAGCACAGTATATACACACATACATACATTAAATATTCATTCAACTATTGTATGTATACCTAAAAATTATTTTCTCACATCAATGCATCTGAAAAATACAGACATTTGTTTTCTTTAACTATTGTTATTAAACACAAAATTACCGTACTGTTGGTTATCTCGCCACGCATTATTCGAATTTATTGAATCGTTAGTATTCATTGATTCTATTGTAACTGTATTGGCATTTTTCACTATTTCATTGGGTATTCTGAAATAGAAACCACACTTTTTAGGATCATTAACACTACACAATGAGGGGATTAAGTCTTACGCCCCTCGTTAAATCGTTCAATTTATAGAGTAGAGAAATACCTTCGAACACGTCAGGCATTCCTATAAACCCCCTTCAGGTGACAGCAACCCCCTAATTTTTTTAAATAGCAATTTTATAGGGACTGTTAATTGCGTTACTTTTGATTTAAGCGCCCTCTAGCGGGATGTTACGCATTTTAAAGTGTGACACTTCATTTGAATGCTGTTTTCATTATTAATTCAATACCGTAAAGTCGGGTGACTAGCTCAAATCAGTAAATAGTTATTTTTATACGTTCTATTTTTAAAATAAAACTCACGCTGGTTGAACTGTAAGGTATTAAAACTATCCAAAACACTTTATTTAAAGACAGTTGGACACTAACGCTTTTTGTAGTATAAAAAAATTTAACTCATTGCAAAATAATCGAATTTGAAAGGTGATAAAATTTGTATACAACCAACAATACTGTTGTTTGTAATATTTTTTCTTATCTTTACCGTAAGCAATAAAAAATATTTTTTTAATCAAAAAATGTGTTTTACTATCAACTGTGATGGGTGGCTTTAAACCAGAAAGTAATATTATAGAGAAAACAATGTAAAATAATGAGTGTCACCTGAGGGTGGCTCTGCATACCATTTTTATTTTTTATTTGAAAAATTAGACTATTTGAGATATTTTTGCTTAATTCTTCTTAAAATATAACTAAAGACTAAATTATGACGAAAATGCAAATTTGGATTTGCTTTTATTTAACAATTGAAACTAGGTCTAAATTTTGACAGTGAGTCAAAGTCACCCGACTTTACGGTACACTACATAATACTATTGTACAAATATAACAAAAATAAACTCAAAATGAAAAAAATTGCATCATTACTAACTTTATTTTGTTACAAGTGCAATATGGAAATATTTTGGTTATGTGACGCACTGGATTTAGAGATGGGACTTTTCATGAAATGGAATTTTTAGACTAGTCCGACGGACATGTACGGAAAAGTAGTGAAAAGTAATGAGTCAGGATGAAAAGTAGTCGACCTTGAGCATAGAAGTCTTCATCCTGGATGTTTTTCAAAAACACTTTGGGAACAATATAAGCATTTTTATTTTCGTTTTTTGGACAAATCATTTGTAAAATACTTCCAACCTTTGGATTTTTTGGTAATTTTTTTCACAAATTTAATTTAATAAGATATGAAACGAAAATTCAAAAACATAATTAAAACATTATAAAAGTCAGTAAACATATGTTTCTTCTTTTTTATATTAAATTTTGCCTTTGTAAGATATTCAGCCGAATTAGCTAACTTAATTTCGCGCATGCGCAATACACTTTTCCACTTTTGAAAAGTGTGTTTGGACTATACTCTATTCAACTTAAACGCAAGTAACACGTAAACACAATAGCTCCTTGACAACAGCATATTGAGCTAGAGGGTAGGGAAATATCCAAAACAGGATCACTGTGCTTGTGCGTATCATGCCATGGTCAAGGGGCTATTGTGTTTACTCGTTACTTGCGTTTAAGTTGAATAGAGTATAGTCAACTTTTCAGACTAGTCCGTCAGACTTTTCAAAGCGATCCATCACTAATAAAATTAACTTTCAAATGAAGTGTCACTCTTTACTAACCGTAACAGTTGTTTATCTTCCTAGAAAGCGCGAAAATCCAATTAAAGCAACAAATTCACCATAAAATTACATTTTCAATAGTGTCATACGACCACCCTTGCTATTTAAAAAAAAAAATCGAGGATGTGGTTGTTACCTAAAGAGAGTTCATAGGAATATTGAAACTTTGATACCGTCAAAAACTTTAATGAGTTTAAAAGTCCATGTGTTCAAAAATTTTTCTTTACTCTTTAAAATAAACGAGTTGACAAGGGAGGAAGACTTAATCCTTTTTTCAAAAGTCAACAAGTTACGAAATAACGAATTTATTCTTTTGATTTGCACCATACTGTATATTTATGGGTTCGAATAAACACAAATACATCTCTATGAAAGAAACAAAACATATTTTTTTAAACTTAAATTATATTAATATATTATAAATACAGTGGTCCATATTACTATCAGTGATGAATGATTAATAAATTATTTAACTATAAAACATTGGAATTAGAATTCCATTTTACTAAAATCAGTATATATATATTTTTTAACTATATGAACAATTAATTTACAAGTACAAAAAATAATAAATATTTACAAACAATATGCTCTCGTATTTCACTTATACTTACAAATTATCAACAATATCCTTAGCAATTTTAGTTGTGCCATTTTCCTGTTCTTCTAGTTTAGTCCCATTTACTTTACTATCTACACTATCTTTAATTTCTTCAGATTTATTTTCATTTTTTTCATCAGTACTCTGAAAATAAGACAAAACATTATTAGGAATGTGTGTGTGTGTGTCCTGTGTGTAAGGGAAAAGGTTGGGCATTGGATGTAATCCATTTGCAACAGAATTTTATTAGAATCATTGAATATGATCTTCTTTGTGAAACAATATTTTTTTGGGAATTAAATTATTTTCGAAGCTAAGATGTTGTATTTGTAATGAATAGTTACTACAGGAAGAGAATATGCGATTTAAATCACAAATTGATATACGAGCGATTTTAAAAAGTCTGTAAAAAAGAAGAAAAACAAGTTTTACAAATAAATTTATTTTGTTAACGATAAAAAAGCATTAATGATTTGATTTTTTGAAAATTACTATGAGAAGATGAACACATTCTTCCAATCGTTCCCCAGCATTGCCAGGGGAATTTGGTTCACTTCCTGTCAGATCCGTTCTTTCAAGGCTTGAATTGTTTGTGGTGAGTTATCTTGAAACACTTTACTCTTTAAGTAAACGCACGTTGTAAAGTCTGGTAAACGGAGAGGCCAGACCATTTCGAGAAAACATAATTTTAATAAAACGTCTTCACAGCGTACGTGCGCTGCTAAGGGGTCCCATGATCCACTATTTTTAACTGCTAATACATAGGAAACATGGCGGATAGCGTCCCTACCACCTCGTTATTCTGCCTCCCCCTATTTATTATTTGAAAATTTTACTTTCGAACTTTTTTTTTGTGTCTTTATAATATGTCAATCTGCGTGTGTACTTCCGGTCATCTTTCAGCTGAAAAGACTAAAATTTATTTTTTTATTTTTTACTAGTAAGATTTGTTTTTCTGAAATTTAATTTAAATAAAAATTAGTTCAAAAAATTTAATTTTTTCTGATACCCGTTAAAAATTGTTTAAACAACTGAAATATTGATAATTTATATACTACAGTCTGTTCGCTATACTTACGCAGGTTTCGAATTAACAAAATTAAATTTAATTTAGCCAAAATGTTTCCCCCAAAAAACTATAAAACTTTTGTCTGAAACTTTTTTCCTAAAATGCATATATTCGGCGGTATTTAACTGTAACACTTTAATTTAAACACCCGGTAGAATATGATTTAGATAGTAACTTTGTAGATGTGACATAAAAAAAAGCCCAAGCGTTTAGCAAAGTACTGAATCGTCTCAAAGTGACGGAAATTCATCACTTTGTTTGTTCTACTGTATACTAAATACGGGGAAATATATTTTGTTTCCTTTCTCTTTATAATTCAACATTACTACAGAACAAACTTTGAATGAACCCTATAAATTCAGTTAAAAGTTACATTTATTCAATTCGTATTAAAACAAGAATATCAGTAGAACTCCTGGACTTTGAAGTCTCTCTACTAATAAAATCGACAAACATAACCTAACTAGAAATTATTCAGAATCGCTGTTTCTCAAGATAGTTGCATAACTTTAAATTTTTACTTACATTTGATGATAAATTAGCATTGTTTTTTCCCCTTGTTCTTAACATTATAGCCTCTACTCTTTTGCGTCGCGCTTCCCTTTCTTTTTCTTCATTTTTAAGCCTTTCTTGTAATTCAGCTTTCTGCTTTTCAGCTTCTTCACGTGCTTTCTTTTCGGCTTCCTCTTTCAACAATTTCATCCGTTGTTCTTCTTCTCTTCTTAGCCTCTCTTCTTCTTCACGTTTTTGTGTTTCTTTTATTGCCTATGGAAAAAAATATATAAAAAATGGAATTGCAAACAAAAAAAATAATATCGGCTTACTTCTTGCAACCTCTCCTGCTCTGTTTGCCTTTGCAGCTCGATTAATTGCCTTATCTGTTCCTCCTCTTGTTGTTGTCGTTCTAATTCGGCCTTAGCTTCAGCTTCAATTCGTAACCTTTCTAATTCCGCTTGTCTTTCAGCCTCTTCTCTAATCAGTCTCCTTCTTTCCGCCAATGCTGCTTTAGCTTCTTCTTCTGTTGTGATACGGCTCTTTGTCATAGAGGCAGTCATTTCATTCATTCCATCAGTGTCACCATCAGGTTGTAACAGATTGTCTGTTTTTTCAGTGGGTGCCTTTTCAGTAACTTTTAATGGATTTTCTACAGGTTGTGGTGTGACTTCAGTAGGTTGAGGTGATTTTTCAATAGGTTGTGGTGGTTTTTCAGTGGGTTGCGGCGGTATTTCACTAGGTTGTGGTGTTTTATCGATAGGCTCTGGCTGTTCTTGAATAATCAGTGTTATACCGTTCTGTGGTTGTAACTGCTGTTCCGTCTGATCTACATTTGCATTAGGTGTATTTTGCTTGTCAAGCGTTGATTGTTTATCATTTGATTGTATGTCAATTAAAAGGGCTTCCTCTACAACTTCTTTCCTAATTTCGACAGTCGCGTTTATATTATTTTCTATTTTAATTTTTTCTGATACTACTTCTACATCACTTTTAACATGTTGAGGCACATTTACTACATCAGATTCTCTGAAAATATCAATAATGTTAAAATTAAGGTCTATTAAGCAATAACTTTCAGCTGTTTTGTAATCGAGTCTAACTAATTTTTTTTGAGAAAAGGAATGGATAAATACATATTGTATAGAATGCAAACATCACATAATAACAGAACTTTATTTCTAAGAAAGGTAATAGACTTAAGCCCGTATTTATAAACAGATCTCGTCTGAATTTAGAGATGGGCAGTAACAAATTCGTAAATGTACTTAACATTTACGGATTTAATACTGTCCATCTCTGAATTGGAGTGCAACACCGGAACCACCTGAAACTCGTAACCGAACTCAGCCAAGTCCGATTCAGCAGAGATCCGTCTATAAATACGAGCCTTAAGCATTTTATAGAAAAAAAAAAAAAAAAAAAAAAAAAAAAAGATAAAGTTATATAATACGATCGTACTTACACTTTCCCATTCACAATTGTAGATTTGGGATCAAGTGGAGGGAGATTATTTACTTCAGACTTTTGATTACCATTAGTTGCTCTATCGTGTGGTTTTTTAAAATCATCTTTACCCGTCGTACTTTTAACAATTGTTTTCGGTCCAGTATCTACAGGTGTCTTAGCTCTATTCTTTACAATTTTTTCGCTTGGTTTTTGCATCGGTTTTTTCGGTTTCGGAAGAGGTGGTTTGGATTCGCCTTTTAATTCGTGTGTTACACCAGTTACAGCAATACTCACTGGCCTTGGTTTTCTTGGACCAGGATTGAAACGGTGCCTCACACTTACTGAACTGGCAATACTATTTGTGCTTTGTTGACTAAGGGAACTACTCGGCCTTGATGATGCTGTATAATCAAAAATTGAGTTAGCATGTTTTTTATTTTATTTTTATTTGCACAATGGCATACATTCTAGATTTATGTTCCTTTTCTAAAATAGGATGTAATAAAGGAATTTTTTATAAATTGAATGAGCTTTTTTGGGCGAATATTATTTTTGTAAGATTTAGAAGTATTTACAAATATAAATTGATTTTAATAATAAATTTTCTATTTTACAAAAGGAATATAATAGATCTGCTAATAGTTACTAATGTTGAAAACTTTTATTAAAGTTGTGAAAAGCAATCTTTAATGTAAGTACACCATACATTTTTGAAAAATACATAAAATGTTCTAAGCATAGAATGTAATACCAAACCAGATATGATCTTCTAAATGCAGTTTTTTATAGAAAAAGAAAGGATATTGGTCAAATTATTAAAATAAACCAGTTCTTAAATTAGTCACATTTTATGGCTTTTACAAATTAAATATTATTTTAGCAAGCATATAATCAATTATTGACACAAAAGCAGGCATTTATTTTTTATTAGTCTAATATAGCACCTAATTTAATTTATTGATAATCACTATTTTCTTTAAAACTAGTGTTTTATTATGTATTAATAAACATCTAAATATTATTACTAAATTATACTTCTAAACTAAGTCATTTATTAGTGTAAAAATAAGCAATTCAACCATTATTATCAATTAGATCATATTTTTTTCTACAGTGTGTCAAATAATATAGACTAATATTTTACTAAATCAATTCTACAACTTATGTGTTGTGTTAATACACCATTTTTTGATGATTGGTTATATAGAGCTTTTAGACTCATAGCTTTCTAACTCGTTTCCACAAAATTTTGTTTTTGGCCCTACTGTTCCAGACCTAAACAGCTGCAATTTTCTTTAAAATCAAGATTATTTCCCTATTCTTTTATTAAGGTCTAAATAGATTACCTTTTGTGGTCATTAAAAATACAAATAAACAAGTTTATCCTTGTTTATAAATCCATGCATTAAAAATATATACATTTATAATAATTTCGTATTGTAATTTTAAAATTATATTAAATAAAAAATAAAGCTGGAGTTAAACCTTATTGTTTCAAAATAATATGTACATTCAATGTAAGACAAGTTACGAAAAGGTGTATTTAATAAATCAATTAAATTAATTAAAAATAAATCTTTAATAAAAATTGCTAAATTGTCATTACATTTAATATAAATATTTTTAAGTAGAGTACAAATAAAACAAAAACAATGCAGTGTCATCTGTTTGCAATTGGGAAGTTAGTAAAGCAAAAAGTGTGATTCGACAGGATATGCAATGAGCCACCACCATATACATCAGCCGTCTGGGAATCTTCTAAAACTCGCCATTTTTTACCTGTTGAAGTTATATTTTCCACTAAAATGAGACATTTTTATTAAATAACTGCTAGATCTAAAAGTGACACCTCTAGATAAGAATGTAATAAGTGTAACAAAAATTCTATCGAAATTTCCACCCTTTACTGGAACACTATCATTAAATACAAATAGTCAACTAGCGAAAAAGCTTTTAAATAGTAGCTATACCATATCGACAAAGCTCGAAAATAATCTATAAACAAATAAATATTTTGAATTCAATTATAATTCAAGGACTGATCCCTATGGTTCACGCCTGACCCCTTCCGATTAGAAGAAAACAACAAAATTTATCAACATAATGTACCTTAAATTAGTCACCCAATTATTCATCGTCTCGCAATTTCGCTTATCAGCTGTGTTAAATGAGTGCATATTTTTTTTCATCCCCAAAAACTGGGTAAATGCACTGCTTTAAAATTTAATTTCCATGTTTTCTTTGAATTTCTAAGTTAATAGTAATAAACACAATAATCATTAATCGTGTTATTGTTTTTGTTTTGTCTGTTAGGAAGACATTGTTCATTTAACCTATGAAATATCAAAATTTCCAATACATCAAACAACCAGCAAATAAGTCAAGCCCGGATAATAGGGATCAATCCGTTTACAGCACGAAATTTATATAGGGTGTTTCCAAAAGGTTGGGATATAGTTTAACTATAGATTCTTGAAATAAAAATGATTTAACGTAACCTGAACCAAACTTACCTATGACCGAAATCGTCTAATTAAGCCGGCATTAGTCGTGAAATAATAATAATAATAATAATGATAATTTTGCCATACGAAGTTGTGATCAATTTTTATAATTTTTGGTATGGCAGTTCTGTAACGTCCCATTCACGATGAGACTTGCCTCGAAGCATGCGGCGCTACACAGATTTCAAGGCACACAAGGTCACACATGCTAGAACGGCCTTACGACACCGCTAGAGATTTCAGTCGATTGTGGTCTGCTGTGTGTAGTCGAATTCTGGAGGACAGGCAACAAGTACCCCTTCCTCTAAGGGAATCGATCATACGACCTAAAAAGGAAGACTGGAACTTTGTTGCACAAATTGTCTCTCCAAATGCCGTAAAATGGGAGATGAATTCATTCTACCCCTTCAAATCACCTGGAGAGGATGGCATTTTTCCTGCCATTCTACAAAAAGAACAGGAACTCCTGCTACCCCTCCTTGTGAGGCTGTTTAGAGCAAGCCTGGCGTGGAGTTATATCCCGCTAGGATGGACGATGGGGAAAGTCGTGTATATACACAAGGCTGGTAGAGTAGATACCTCCCTACCAAACTCTTACCGTCAAATCTGCCTTTCTTCTTAAAACACTAGAGAGGATTCTAGATAGGCATATTAGAGGAGGCCTTCCGGCAAGCCCGTTAAACTCCTCCGAATATGCCTACCAAGCAGGCAAATCGACAGATCATGCCTTCCTAGATATAGAAGGCGCGTTCAACAACGCCCTTCCTCAGTCTTTGTTCGCTTCTATTGAAAGAAGAGGAATCGTCAAACTAACTTGTAATTGGATCAAAAGCATGCTGGCAAACCGGAACATCACTTCATCACTGCAGGGACAGACTGTCACTTTTAGGCCTGCCAGAGGATGTCCACAAGGCGGCGTACTTTCATCCCTACTGTGGACTATTCTGGTGGATAACTAGCTAGACGATCTATCCCGGCAGGGGGTAAATTTTCAATGCTATGAGGACGATCTGGTTGTCATAATTAGGGGAAAGTTCCAAGAGGTGATCTCCAACATCCTTCAACAAGCTCTGAACACGATCAACAGATGGTGCGAGAGGGAGCAGATGTCTGTCAACCCCCGCAAAACTGTTATTGTCCCCTTTACCAAGAGAAGAAATCTCGACAAGCTTCGACAAGCTACCTTGGCTGGGGAAAAGATTCCTTTTGCGAAGGAGGTGAAATATCTGTCACCCTAGATAAGAAACTCACCTGGAACCCCGAATTGGATAAAACCATTAACAAAGCCAGATTATCCCTCTGGACCCTTAGAAGGATATGCGGCAAAGCAAGGGATCAGTCCTTAACTGATCTACTGGATTTACCAAACAGTGGTAAAACCCATGGTTACGTACGGCTCTGTCGTCTGGTGGGACAAGGGACTTCAACGGACGGCCAAAACAAAGCTGGCTGCAATACAGCAGCTTGCGTGCCTAGCCATAACTGGAGCAATGTCAACCACACCTACGGGAGCCATGGAGACCTTGATGAACCTAACCCCTCTCCACATTCTGCTGGAAAGGGAGGTCAGGATGGTCTCTTACATACTCCTGAAGGTGGGTAGTCTTGCCACAACGAAGAACTGCGATGAGACAAGACGGGGCTGAGGAGTGAGATTAATAACCACCCTATCCTCGGCATGGTCTCGGACTCGCTAGTTCCCCGACAGCACATAGCAAAGTCAATACAGCGTCCTCATCCCAGAGAGATGCATGGAGCAGAGGGGAAAAAAACCCTCTCCCAGGCAGACTATGCGCTGTACACGGACGGCTCCAAAACTGAAAAAGGAGTAAGAGCGGGAGTTTTCGGCCAGAGGCCTAGAGTTGACATATCAATAAACCTAGGCTCGCTGGCCACGATCTTCCAAGCAGAAATGATTGCTATAGAATTGGGAGCGAGAGAGTTGATTAATTTTCTCCCCGCAAACAAGACTATAAAGATCCTTTCAGATAGCCAGGCAGCCCTTAGATCTTGAGCTACAATAATCGAGTTGCTTCGAAGCTGGATTGGAACTGTATAAATACCCTTGAATGTCTCGGTGCTCGGTACAAAGTTACTTTGATCTGGGTTCCGGGGCACAGTGGTGTGGAGGGCAACGTAAAAGCCGACGTGCTAAAAGAGGAACCGAATCTGTGTTAATAGGACCAGAACCATTCCTGGGAATTGTAAAGAACACTGCCAAAGGAATGATCTCAAAATGGACGGAGGGTGCAACACTCACGAACTGGCGAGATACCCCAGGGCTAACTCATTCGAAAGCGTTTATAACCAACCCTTCTATGAACGCCTCGGCTCAGATCCGAGAATGAAGTAGGAAAGATCTACGCATTTTCACTGGACTGGACACTGCCGTCTGGGCAACAAACATCGGACTGTCGATTCTGCAGCGTGGAGGACGAGTCTGCAGAGCACATTCTATGTACCTGCTCCGCTCTGGGAAGAACCTAACCTGTGGTCTAGTGTCAGTTATCAGCCTTTATTAAGGCTTCTTCCTATCAGCTTTCTAATGAGCAATGTGTTGCAATTGGTACAGCCGTTAGCCTTATAATTTTTGATGAGAAAAAAAAGAACCATAAGGAAATGGTCGAAAATAATAGGCTAATAACAAATAATTATAGTGGCATGAATTTAATACGTGAACTATGACAAAATGAGAAAGATGATTTTCCAAATTATTTGCGAATGGACGAAAGCAAATTTTATTTTTACTTCATTTTTATTTTATTATTATTTTTTAGAACTTTCCGTCTTACACAGACTATTCCAAACGATTTTGGTTATAGGCAAGTTGGGTTAAATCATCGTATTTTTATCCGAGAAGTCTATAGTTATGTCCAACTTTTTGAAGACACCCATAATTAATTACTCAAATTAGGAAATTAAATCTAATACTTGTTTAGCTATTTGAATCTTAATAATATGTATACTATTTCGAACGATGTTTACCTATTTTGAATTTACCTGCCACCAGCTTATGAGAGACTTAAAGAATTAAAAGAAAATTTTATTTACAATTTACTGATGAAATATTTTCTTTTTTACTGTTCTAATATAAAAATTTAATATATGTAACAACAATTATTTAAGGTCAAGAGTCCCGTTTTTGCAAGTGAGCACGCCCCTCTTATCAAAAATGTGTTCTTCAAATAGTGTATCAAAAATGAAGTGTTTTTCGCTATATTTGTACTTTTTTGACCAATGCTTCAGAATTATCCTTATAATAGCCCTATAAACTACAATATAAATTAATTGTGTGTAAAATTAGCTAATTAAAATATATGTTTATCGTCTATACCTGGAAGACTGACAAAATTTTACATATGTTTTTACCTAAACAATTTATTAGCTCAACATTTTCTTATAAACATATATTCAAGTTCAAGATCTTTTCATGGTTATATTTTGTTATCTTATTAATATAAGTCACAGAAAAATCGAAAACTAAGAAAAACACCTAAGTTTAGTAAAAAAAAAAAAAAAAAAAAAAGAAGAAAGTTTTAAACCGTTAATTTGAATTGAAATTTAATGCAGTTTTTCAACGATTTTACAGGTTTAGTTTAGGGTTAAATACAGAATATAAATATATTATAGAGACGAAAAAAAATTAATCAAATTACCGATTTCGTATTTTTTATCGATCCCAATTTAAACCAAAATTAAATAAGTAAAATAATACTGTTTATATTGTTACCACATATATTAAATTTACGTGGTCTATTCATGTATTTAAGACCAATAATGAGAACAGTAAAGAAATATCAGTGATGTTAGCACAATATGACGTTTTGCTTAAAAGTTGGATACTGGAACAACACCTATACGGTTGTTTAAATTTACAACCAATTAACATAAAATATGCGTTTATATTGATGATATACTATCTTATCTAATTAATAACCGTATATACTTTATAGCCCACATTTTTATTAGGAAAATTTAACCCAGTTATCTCAATGTTAAGCGAATATGATATAGAAGTATTCGAATTTTCAAAATATTTTTATTGATTGCCTAATTTTACAAAGAATTCTACAATGTCATTAATCCAATCTACCTAAATAAGATACATAATTTACTGAGCTTTATAGATTAATTTTTTAATATTATTAAAGGAAGCCTCATTATAATATCCCTAATAATCGAAGAAAATAAAATCAAATTTAGATTTTAAGGTATTTTTCCAGTATAATTAACTAATTCTCGCTCTACTTATAATTCAAAGAAATTATATTTGTACAATATTGCACATCTTTATTATTATTTATTATCACATAACTATTATACAAGATGTGCAAAGGTAGCACAATAAAAATCAAACACGTTTTTTAAATGAACTGACTTTCTGAGCTTTTACGCTAGTATTTGGATAAGTAAAAAAGCTTATTTGGAAAGCCAATTTGCATAAAAACCGTTAAGATACCTTTTTATATGAATTTCTCGTGAACATAACTAAAGTAGAATAAGTTATAATTTGGCAAAACGAAATATAATCAGAAAAAAAACGTTATAAAAAAACAATGCGAAATTTTGCAACTAAAATTAATTAATGAAAAAAAAAAATCATTAAATGATTTAAAATATGTTGAACTGTAAGTGATTTAATTATATCCACCAAGTCCAGATTATCAGATATAATAGGTAATTTTTATCCGCTTGGCATTTTTGAAGTACCTACCTTCAGCAACTTTATTTATTATTGCTGATATCTATAAATCAATAACATAAAAGTACCTAATATGAAAATTGCAGGTGATAAGTGATCAAATTCGTATATTGTAATTAAGGAATCGTTTTAAAACACTTAAAAGAAACAATTACACGAACTATTTAAAAGAAATGCTTACATCCCTATTCACAAAAAACTTTTATAAAGTTACCTGCAGCTAAAATTTTAAATATAGTTTCTGCGATTAATAAAATTCAAATTTCTTCAAATCATTAATAAATTAAATATTGGTTAATATTTGTCTGGGCAACATTTATGAAATCGATAGAAAAATATGTAAAGAATGTCATTTACCAAGATTAAAATCATAATTTAAGTCTATGAAATATTGCCCGTCTAACAGTAAAGCCTTGTTCAGAGTAGGAGTGGCGAGCGTCGCGATGCGATTGATAGTTCAGATATCGCATCGCGACGCTCGCTGCTCCTACCCTGAACAAGGCACTAAATTTATCCGTAGGTAACTTACACGTACCTTTAAAGTCGTTTGTGAATTAGGCGGTAAGAATTTAATTTTAGAATAAAACTGATTTTAACATAGTGTATTTAAATGTAGAAACAGAAATAAAAACATGTGGAGAAACCTCTACAAGACAATTCCAATTCTCCCGATCATCAAATAAGTATCTTCCATCGCTATTATTTATGAATACCTTCTCAAGTAATTGAAAAATCTGGTATAAACATAAAATACACAATCGCTAGTATGTGCTTATGAATTATCAGGTTGTATGATTGCTCCTAGTTGGTGTCACTATCTCTTAAGACAAAGGGCCAAAGGCAGGATGATCTCTGTATCTGTAACGTGTGGAAGGTGGCTTACCCCACGACACTTAGACACCTCACTAGGCCCGTTGTGAATTCTTCTAAGATGATAGGCACCTCCTAGCTCGTGAGCCAGCCTACAGATTTAATGTAGTTGACAACGTCGCCAAAAACATAAATCTTCTAATAAATGAGAGCGTCGAGAAATCGTAGAAGATATGCACGATGGTCTCATCTTCTTATTCGCACCCTCTGCAGAGTGCGGGTTCTGACAGCCCCATGATATGGAGATGATTCCGAACTTGGCAATGACCGGTCAGAATACCTGTGATCAAGCGCAGATTCTGTCTAGTCATGTTCTTTAATTAGGTCTGTCACTACCGATTTTGTCAGGCCAATTGAAGGGCCAGGTCTAAAAAGTATTTGGTTGGCTGCCTTCTTGGCCAGTGAATCAGAAAGGCGGTTAGCTTGCGATGTGACGTGACCTTTAATCCATCTTAAGGTGACCACATTGTTGATGGATACTTCGATTAAAGCTTCGTGACATTCTAGCACTAACCCTGAGTAAATTCATGGTCTGCTCAGGGTGAGTACTGCTTGTCTGCTAACTGTATGGATGAGCATGATCCATCCAGTAATATTATTTCTGGTGATTTCTTTTGTTGCTATGAGCTCTGTTTGAACTACACTGGCACTATTGCTCACAACCCATTTTATGTTTGTTTAAGGATCTGGAGTATATCCCACATCCCGAGGCTTCTGTTTTAGGACCGTCAATGTAGATATGAATCGTTCCTGCCACTTCTATGCCTTCTATTTGTTCTATTATAACTTTATATGGCTTATGGAAGATATATCTCGGTAAGAATGAGTTTATGTTCGCTTGAAGCAGTGGGAGCGTATCAAGCGCCTCCTGCCAATAGCGGGGTCTCGCCTCAACATATCCTACATCAGGTTCTATTCCAACAGTGCGGAGGCGTATCATTGTGATCAGAACAACCTCCTTGATGTAAATATTAAGGGGAGTGAGACTAAGAATGACTTCCATGACTCTGATCGGTATGGTTTTCATGGTCCTGTTATGCTAAGACATGCTGTTCTTTGTATTTGTTCTCGTTTTCGGATAGTTGTCAATTTCTGGGTTTTCGGTACCCAAACAACTGCACCGTATGTTAACATACGTCTTATGAGGGTTCTGCAAGTCCATGCTATGACTTTGAGGGAGATTGAGGGAGAAACCCCTGATGCGCCCCAAGGTTCGGCTGCATTGTTCATAAGTAATGTATACTCTTTTGACTGTTTTCTAAGTGTGAATTCCATATTAACTTGCTGTCAAAGGTGAGACATATTAAACGAAGTTTATTACTAAATGAAGATTAAAATATGTTTACGTTAATAATGCCATTTTAATCTTCGTTTAGTAATTTAAATTTCATTTAACACAACGGTGAAATTGGCCCTAAATGCGTTAGTTTTGGTGCAGTGGCGTAGCTGATTACTTGAACTTCGTCGCATTTTCACTGTAGATGGAGGATAAAATATATTGATTGTTCTTAGAGCTTTACCACACACATTGACAAATCTGTATTTACAAACAAATCCAAACTGACTGAATATTTATAATTATAATATATTTTTTAAAAGTGAAATTATAAACATACTTAAAGGCTGATTCTTGTTCATAGAAGTTTAGTTACGCATGAATGTTGAACTCATGAAATGCGATGCATTTTTGATAATTTATGTCTTAAAACATTTCATGCATATCGTACACTATAAAATTGTTTTTTTATAACGGTTTTAGATTCGCGTAATCGCAGTTATGTACAGAAGGATAGCGAATGTAAAATTGAAATTCATACCATCACTACAATTGGAGGAACCGAGCACTTTTTGGTCCCTCAATTGAGTGGCGCGAGTTGTGCGAGGTGGCCCTACGACAGGTCTCTCAGACAGCTGTTGCATGCTGCGACTGTCCGCCTTATTCAACTCCCCTCTGGGTCTTGATTTACGTACGGCAATGTGGCTCACGCTACGGGTCATGGGAAAGTCGCGGGACTGGGATAGGTTATAGGAGGATCCGGACATTCCAGATTCGATTAAAGAGGGCATATCGTGCCTTTTGCGTGGTTTCGCAAGCTGGTCTAAGCGCGACATTGAATAAGCCCTACCTGGTGAGTGGTTAAGGGATTTATGGGATGAACTGATTGAGTCTTTTGTCGGAATGGTGGGGACTAGGTCAGTGCGCCTACGTCCTATGTAACCGCTTACGCAGCCTGCTGGTATAACTGGTGCATTACCTGCAAAAAATATTTAGCAAGTGCATAAACTAACATTTTCATCGAAAATTTTACTCATAGAGACTCACACTTTACTCGATTTTGTAATTATTTATTCAGATTGGTTCATTATTTCGGAATAATAGGGTATACGGGATCCTTACTATTTCATAGGGACAGTATTGATATTTCTTGAATGGTATCATATAGAAAGTTGCTTAAAATTAGAAAAAAGTTGCGCAGTTTTGTGCTCATTAAAATAGTGCCAAAACCTTTGATATCTACAGGGAGATTCAAAATATCGGACTAAAAAGTTTAAATTATCATTCATTTTTTGTCCAATATTTTGAATCTCCCTGTAGATATCAACTTTTGTCTAATTTAACCAACTTTTACTGTTATCGTATAAGAAATAGCAATACTGTCCCTATGAAATAGTAGGGACCATATATAATGACTCCATCAGCCAGATTTTCAAGACCAATAAATACGAGTGTTGATCCCTATACTCTAATCCTAATACACTTCTACTATCTTAAAGAAAAATAATTAACTTTTGCAGATCACTTATCTGATAACTTATGGCAAACATAACTTCGTTGTCACTTGACTGCTTATTCGGGGGTAAGGGGGCGTCCATTAATTACGTGAGGTGTTCAAGGGGGGAGGGGATAAAACTAAATTTTTCTAAATCTCACTTGGGGGGAGGGGGGGTTTTCGTAAATCTCACGTAATTTTTTTTTCTAGTAGAAAACGGTGTAAAATTGCGTGAAAGTAAAGTTAAATTATAGTAAAAGTATTTCTAGAATAAAATATGGAAAAATCTTATAATTATGTTTATTTACAACCATATATGTAATGTTGTCATTACTAAGGTCATTGAAGGTTGGGAAGTGTGATTTTAAATAATTGCAACACTCTCAAACACTAGTCTTTGCTAGTCTTAAATAAAAGTAATGGAACATATTGTGTTTTTGTTTTTTTTTTTAATAATCCAACACATTTACACCCAAAACACGAATTTTTGAAAAATCTCACGTGACATTAGGGAAGGGGGGAGGGAGTTAAGGAAAATCTTACCAAATCTCGCCAGGGGGGGAGGGGGAGTCAAAAAATCCTCAAAAATACCTCACGTAATTAATGGACGCCCCCTAATATCATAAGATCTCAGATTTAGCAGGATATTTTTGTGGTTGTTTTTGAGTAGGGGAAACGACATTAAAAAATATCTGAACTCGAATGGTAATTTGGTAAGACTTTTGAATAAAGATTACTTTACTAATTGAATTTAAATATTAATTTAAATTCAATTAAATTTTATTTAACACTGAAACAGAAGAACAATGAATATTAAAAAAAGGCTTTTTAGAAAGAACAAATTGTTATTGTAGTTTTGTTGAGGTCAACTCCATTATTGATGTAGATTTTGTTATTGATGATGACATGGATCTTGTTGGCAGTACACCTGATTCATTATCCAATGATTGATCTCAGATATTTGTCACAAGATTTGAATAATGCTCCTTATAAAGTTGTAAATATGGCTTTATAGACTTAGATGCCACATGTCGTTCTTTTAATTAATTGTTGTTAAAAAATACCTGTTTTAACTAAATTTGATACTGTACTGGAGCGGTGAAAATGATAGATTTTTTTTATTCTTGGTATCGTCCAATTTTTTCAGCTGAAATTTTCGTCCACTCAAAAATTTCGCTGATTTCTATAGGGACACTTTTTTAATAACTTTTTGAAACATTTTTCCAAAATGGATTGGTAGTTATAAATAATATTTCAGTTGTTAAATTGTTTGGTCTATGTGATAATATTTGATAAAATAATGTTGTGCTAAACATGTCAGGGTTTTGTGTTCTTTATTAACAATTTACTATCGCAACACTTTTTTGAACTACCTTGAGATGTTTTGGAAAATATTGTATTATATTCAATATCTTTGCCACATCTACAACTGTCTGTTTCATTTTCAAATCAAAGTTTCGTTGCTTACAAAACGCACTAAATTGGTTCTAAATGGATGATTTATTTTTTTTTAATTTTCAGGAATATAATTTTTAATCTCGCTAATTATTTTTGATTCGCAGATATTTCCAAATTTCGGCCAAGAAAAAACTAAAGGGCTTACTAAATCTACGAGAAGGCATCTAGATAGAGGAGGTAAATTATCTCGAAATTTGCATCTGAAAAGAGGAAATATTACCCGTGCAAGTTTAAGGACCAGAGCATAGGGATCAACACATGACTACTGATTTTGATGTACATTTTTAATTTATTAAACAATTCATATAAATCTTAATTTAAATAATCCTTAGAACGTTTTCAAGTCTATATGGTATTTTTCTGTTCCACATAGTGTACTAAAAAAAAATAGCATTATTTTTAAGCACTTTCTGACATTCACTTTAAGCACTTCGATGCATTATAAAAATTTTCTGTAAATATTGATTTTTATAAAAACAGGAACAAGCAACACTGAACACACGTTTGAAAAATTTACTCTAAAAATACGTTTAAATAAGTACTTACAGCTGCCTGCCCTTCCTTTGTGAGCTTTGAACATTTTAATAATATAATTACTTGCATTTTTTAAATTATGCATTACAAATATTCTAGTTTAAAAATTGTTCATACTTAGACAGGTACTTAGTGCTTGGGGTCTTTATAAATTAGACAATGTTTAATTGATATTCTATATACTGTAAAAGGTCTTTACAAAAACATACCACATATTCCTTAGACCAAAATAAGTCGATTTAAGTAAAATTACCTTAGTACAAAGTTGCTTCGTTTGGACTCCAGAGGGCCTTGAAGTTACAATTTTTAAATCGTTTTTCCCATATAAATTTAAAACGGCCTATGCGATTTTGCTGAAATTTGGTATATTGGTAGAGTTTTATGTGGCAAAAAATGGTATTAAAATTTTGTCCGATAATAATACATAGGCGTAAAACTTGATTTTTTAAATTATTTGCACTTTTTAAAATTCTACGCCAATGGAAGAAAAGGAGTTTGAGTATGAAATTTAGATTGCGCAACTCATTTACTTTAAAAAAGGTACTCTTGATAAGACTCGATTACTCTCATGGTTTTCGCTAAATTTCTGTTTTAATAATTTAGAGTGTATAGGTTTCACAAAAATATTTATTTACAACATAATCAAAATAGATATTTTACAAAAATTGTTCAAAATGTTCACCATTTTCACGCATACAAAGATTTAAACGTCGAAGAAAATTAAAATGTATCCTTTCCATAACTTCTTCATCACCTCTAAGATTGTTTATTGCATCTTGAATACGTTGCCAGAGTTGTTCCTCATTTTCTACAGGTTCCCTGTAAACTGTGGATTTCAGATGTCGCCATGAAAAGTAATCCATCGGTGTTAGGTCTGGGGAACGTGGTGGCCAGTTTACAGGTGCGTCATTACCTCTGCCTATCCATTTGTGTGGATATTGTTCATTCAAGTGGTTTCTAACGTTTAAAGAAAAATGTGGTGGAGCTCCATCTTGCATAAACCACATATCTCTCCGAAGATGGAGAGGTAAATCTTCTAACAATTCTGGCAACGTATTTTGTAGAAAATCCAAATAATTTTCTCCAGTTAATCTTCGTGGAAGTATGACAGGACCAACAATGAAATTACCAATTATTCCAGCCCACACATTAATTTTGAATTCGTGCTGAAAATGGTTTACCTTTATTGCATGCGGATTTTCAACGGCATAAACATGTTCATTATGGGTATTAGTTATACCTCTTCTTGTAAAACCCGCTTCATCGGTAAAGAGAACCTTCTTGACAAAGTTTTGATCTCTTTCTCTTTGCATATTAACAAATCGACAAAAACCCAAACGAATTTGAGGATCATGGACTAATAATTCTTGTACTGGCTTCTTATGGTATGGATATAACAATTGTTCTCTAAGTACTTTATGAACGACATCTTTACTTACTCCTAGTTCCCTTCCAATTCGTCTGGTGCTTAAATCTGGATCTTCTTCAACACGTTCTAAAATGTCTTCTTCAACTTCAGGAATCCTTACAAAACGTTCTCTTCCATTATCAACAGTGTTGGGAGCAAAGGAACTGGTCTCCCGAAGACGTCTCTCAACAGCAGCAAAAGTTGGGTGGCTAGGTACACGACGATTTGGAAACCTTTCAGAGTACACCCTGACACTCTCTCGAGCATTTCCTTCACAAAATCCTAATGTCAGTAACATATCGATATATTCTGCATTGGTATATTGTACAGCCAATAAACCACGCATTTGTTTTTTTAATTATTGAGTCAGATAGAACAATTTCAATCGTTAACAAGAGATTAGGTGTTAAAACTTGACAATATTTTTATTTAGATGAAACCACAGCTTATACAATACAGCTAAAACACTCTCTTGGCGGCAACGGTTTGCGTCGATTTCGTCGCGCATCGCTTAAGCTCCGCCTTCGAAGGGAAAAGACGGTTTTGGCGTTCAGAAGCGTACTTAGGCAAGGTGTTGAGTCGTGCGTATAATTTCGTTGATTGTATAATTTCGTGGAGCCTATAATTTCGTTGATTTTGTTTGAGTTAAAGGTACTGTTATTATTTTGGTGACTCTTTAGCTGTGAGTAGAATGAGTTTGTGCAGTCAAAAGCTGTTTTAATAAGGGTTATACCTGCAAGAAAACATTCTTTAGTTTTCCCAAGGACCCAAACCGATAAGTACTACATTATAAGAAATTTTCATTGTTAAAAATATAATTTATACAGGGTGTCTCATTAGTGCGTTATTGTTCATTATTTTGTTGTAGAAACGCAAGAAAGTTTTAAATAAAAGTTATATGGATTTGAAAAATACCTACATATTTTAAAAATATCTTTGGATATACAGGGTGTCACGTTTTTGCCTGGAAAATTAAAATGTATGTTTTTTAAATGGAACACCTTGTATTTTATTTTATGATGAAATTATTAACACCCTAAATTATTGTAAAGACGAATTGCTACAGAAAAATTTTATCAGGTGT